GGCTGCCGCCAGCTACAACTTTAAGCATCTCCGTACGGCGGCCGCCAGCTGGAAAATTTAAAGTTGCAACTTAACAACCTATTTTTGGCGGCGGCCGGCTTAGCCAATTATGGACGTGCCGGCAGGCGCGGGGGGGGGGGGAGGGGGTGGATGGGCCGATTAAATATTCCGGGGTAAAGCGCAAGCCGGCTGGGCTAATAAGTGAAAATTAATTGCCCCAGCCAGGCTTCAGCCGGAATTGTAGCCTCGATCAGCCAATACGTGAGGCGGCAGCCAGCTGGTATCGTTATTTTTGACGCCTCGCCTTACTTCATTTTCGCACAAACAGTAAACAGGAAAGTGGTCGCTTAATTCAGATAAAATAATACCTACATGGGTTTGACAAGAATCATTTGAAATAATGTTATCAATCAGGGATATGGAGTGTTCGTTTACATGAGTTGGATATTTCACAAGAGGGAACATGGAATACAACATAAAAATCTCTAGAAAATCATTAACAGATTATAATTTACCCACCTTAAGAAGATCAATATCAAAATTCCTCTGTAGGCCATCCATAATGGTTCAAGGCATGCCCACATAGAGGATTTGTTTATGTTGGGGGTCGGGGCAAAATGCAATGAATTATTGATAAGTTTTGCATTTTCTTTGTGTTTTGGGGGTATTTGTGGGAGCGGCGACGTACCCTAGCCCCCGCTGCGTAAAGTCATGATTCAGTGACTAAGCAATGGCCTCGACCGTTACTGTGAGGCCCCAGGATTAAAACCGTGTCGATGTGCTATATTAGTGTCCTTTTACGAGGTCATTTATGACTTAGGGACGTAGGTCCCCTAGTTGATTAGCATAGTAGCATACACATGCTTTATCAGTCACGCAACACAAACACTCACAAATTATTATTCAATAAAATATGAGAATGTAACCTATTATCTCAATCTATTAGGAATAAATCATTGTCAAAATGATTCCATAAATTGGGGTAAACATAATTATTTCACCATTATGACCAACAGTGTATTACTAAAAAAAAAAGCGCTCCAAATTATTAAAAACCAATGGATACCTTGCTCCTTCGTCTATTCATGTAACAGCTTGATTCAAACGAATCACCTAAGATATTCAATAACGTGTTTTAAAAAAACCAACAAAACTATGATTATCCAAAGCGACAATCTCATTCATATCATTTACCGAGAATGAGAACAGTGTCAGCATAAAATTATTTTTGATTTTGCTTGACCAAGTTTTGGAATTCTCTCGAGCTAACCTTGGCAAATGCTCCCACTTTTTGTGCTCATTTATTACGCCGTTTACGGTAAGTGAAAGGATGTTTTTTTGCAAAATTATCAACGTGCAAAATTACTTGTTGATGAGCGTATTAAATGAATTAAAGGTGTCATTATATTTACGTAGCTTCTTCAATGTTGTGTTGAACTCTACAATAAAGCAGAGTACTCATAGTTACGATTATTTGTGGATACAGGACTTGGCAACCCTAACCCTAATATATTCAGATGTATATATCATTAAAAAATCATGCACATAACATAAATCATAACTTAACAGGTTCCTCCCTTTGCAAATTTCAATAGGCTTCTCGTGATAAGCCTGACAGTCCTTCAGAGTTACAACTGCGTACAACCCCTTTTGTTGCAATATACTTGCTTGAAATCTTAAGAATTTAGGATGCTGCATCCTCTCTCTCTCTCTCTTTCTTTCTTTCTCTCCCCCTCCTCCTTCCTGTTCTTTTTTCCTTCTCCTTCTTCCTTGTCTATCCTTTTCTCTTCCCTTTTCCCTCTCTGTCCTTGCACTAAACTAGTTCTTTTCCCTATGTTTTCATTCTTGAATACAAGTTAGATTTTTTCCTAAAAGGGGACCTATATCTTCTCAAGCTCTGCTTCTTTTATAGGTTCCTCAACTTATTCTCAAATTAAGATATTGTTAAGAATGATGATATTTTCGGCAATTCTTTGATAATGGTGCAATATATATGCTCACTAAAGCAGTATGTACATAGTTTAATGAATAAATCGCAAGATTAGTATTGTACAGGTTGTGGTAATCCACTTACTGCTTTGTTTTGTTTGTGTTTTATTATATATATATTTTAAGCCAGTGGAAAAATATTAAAGATGAACTTTAAAATTGAACTAGTTATCAACCATACTGTCTCGTAAATTTACATCAAGTTAGATAAATCAATTAGCTGTGAGAAACGCTTTATACTTCCGACATCAAATTAATTAAATTGTAACGATGCCAAGGATTAATTGCACTGTTTCATTTAAAAAAACATAAGGTCCGCTTTTATTTGACCGATTGGAAATTATGGTGACCGTGATCTTGTGCTTGCGTAATCTCATCGACCCGTGATTGGTTGACAGAGAAAATTATGGGCGTGGCAATAGCGATCAACGCGACCTGGCAGGCAGTCCCATCGCCTCAATACCTTAATACGTTGAACACTAAGATATTTCATAAATCTAAATATATTTTATCATGTCCAAAATCACTCAGACAAATTTAAATGTTTACGGAGATTTAGATTTTAAAATGATTTTTACAGATGGGTCACAACTCTATACACAAATGTTAAAAGCAGTGTCAATGTAAACGGTTGGTTATTAACAGAACAAATTAACATAACAAGAGGCGTGCGTCAGGGATGCCCTCTTTCAGCCCTATTAGCTATCGAGATAAGAAATGAACCAGAAACGAAAGGAATTACACTTTTTGATTCAATTTGTTCAAAAGCATGTATATTAATCAATTAATTCATTTTACCCCCAAAATAAGTGATATTTCACATGGCAGGGCTTAAACATAATATCCGCATAGAAATAGCAATAGCAAGAAAAGCAACAAAAAAATGTTGGTCATATTGAAAGACATGGGGGTCTCTAGAAAGTTTGTTAGAAGGTAAAATAGGAAAAAATGAGAGGGAAGCCGAGAACCAACTGGGAGGATAACATAAACACCTGAAAAGTAATGATACTGCAGGAGTATACTAGAATGGCAGATAACAGAGATGTGTGGAAACAAATTTCTAGTAAACCTCCGAACTTGGAAGATACCAGGATAGATAGACAAGTATAATATATGGGTCATATCTACCTTGCCTAATCGCGTATCATTTTAACCCTTATGATATTTTGGTATAGTATTGTTATATATTTTTTTTTTTTTGTATTGTACAATTCAGCCGAAGCTTCGGGACCTACTTTGAATAAATATAGAAAAATATGTATACATATTGAATAGTAATTAATCAAACTCGCAAATTCACATACAATTGATTTAATTTGTTGTAATGAATGTCCACTTCATGTGTTTAGAGACAGTGTCACCCCAATACGCATTGATAATCATGAATTGGGTGAAGTGTCGGTTGTAAAATTACTTGGAGTACTGGTTCAAAATGATCTGAAATGTTCATGTCATGTGAATATTGTCAAGCGAGCAAGCACAAGACTACTCATCTACTCATGCTCAGAATATTGAACGGATTCAAACTTCCAGCAAATGATTTATCATCAATATGTGTCTACTGTTCGTACTTTCGGCCCCTGGTAGAATATTTTGCCCCTGTTTAGCACTCTGGGCTAACTGAAAACCAAAGTAATCAGATTGAAAGAATCCAAATACGAGCTTGGAGCGCACTACTGTAATTACCAAAATGCTCTCAACGAATCGGGACTGCCTTCTCACAATGTGTGTGTTGGGTTTTTACAGAAGTTTATCAATCAGATATGATAATTTACGTCTGGGAACCGACGTTTTAACGTCACCATCAGAAAGACGTGACTCAGTTTCGAACCTGGGTTCTCGGCTAGATTCAGCTAGATTACAGGCGCACGCAACAACGCCTAGTTGAAAGACGAGAGAAATAGCATTTAGTCCGGGCGAAAGATTGCCTAGCCCATCATCTAACTTTCACCACTGGCATCCTCCTTTGTAATCAACTTTACATTGTGGATCAATGCGAAATGGCCGAGACTATTCCGAAGTCTTTTGCAAAACGGAGCGCTACAAAAGAAGTGCTCTCCCCTATACCTCATCAGGCTCAAATTTAAAGTAATAGCTGGAGAAGATCCATAAATCTTTCGTGCAAATATACATGCACTGAGGTAAAAGTTGTTAACCAGCAACATCCCATTTTCTTCGGTTTAATACTTTTATCTCGTCATTTTTGTCAAATATTTAGTATCAACTAGATTATTATACAACATGTTTCTCACGCCATTCAAGCCCTACACATTTATTCGATACAATTTTATTGAGCACTTTGGCGGCTTGTAATTATGTAATATTTGTAATCTTTTTGATAAGGATACTGTTGATTAGAATTATATTCTCTTTTGTACTTTTCATAAATACTATGAACTTTAAATTCAACCAAATATCTATAACCAAATTATCGATATATCTGCGAAACAACCTACATGCTAGAGAGAGAGGGAGAGGGAGAAAAATGGAGAGAGAGAGAGAGAGAAAAGAGAGAGAGAAAAGGGACAGAGAGAGGGAATAAGAGGATGGATAGAATGGTGGGAACGACGGGCATAATTTATCGATCCAAATAACAATTACTTCTCTCTATGAACTATGTTTTGTGACTGACTTATGATATTTGTTTTGTTTTTGTTTGTTAAAAAACAGTATTTTATGTACCTTTAGTATCATCTGGCGTTTGTATAATTTTTGCAATTTTTAATATTCTATTTTTATGTATTTTTTAAACTTGCTGGTAAAATATAAACAATTTAGTTTTGGGCTGATTATCATATTTTATATTTTACCTTGAGTAAATGAATAAATAAAAATAATTAATTAAGTAATCTATTTTTATCTAATTAAAACAATGCCAAGGATTTTATTACGAAGAATGCATTATTCAACCGAAAACCATATGGTCTGGTTTGATTTTCCGATTTGATATGGTGGCCGTGAACCTGCGCCTACATGTTTGATCTCATCGACCCTCGATCGGTCAACAGTGAACCCATGGGCGTGGCATTAGCAATCAACGCGATCTGGCAGTCCAAACACCTTAATAAATACCGAAAAAACAGTAGGTGTAAAATCACTTTTAGACGGTATCTCCGCCAACAATAGATGTAACGCCGTTTAATACGTCGAGACAGATGCGTCGATCCTGCCGTGCCTTAGAAGAAAGAACTTCAGTCACCAAGATTTCTCCAAAGTATTTGGTAAGCAAACTATAACATGTATTAAATGCTCAGTGTAATCTAAAACGTGTAGTGTTGACTAATGAACATTTCCTAATCATTTTAAATCTGAACTCTACTTTTTCAAGATCAGACTTAATGTTAAGGGAATAATTGATGCTGATATCAAATTAGCAGAATATTAAGGCAGCAAAATTGGAATTACATCGGTGAAAGATTTATTGAAGATTTATCTTGGGAGCTTATCTGAGATTTTTATAAATGTAAACCCCCTCCCCCAAATAAATAAATAAATAAATAAATACATTGTTAACTATTCAAATTAGAAAGACATTTGCTGTCGTTGCCAGGGAAGGTTACAATTGGGCTATTGCCCTCGGCACGCCTCGGGCAATAGCACAATTCTAACCTTCCCTTGAGCGTATAAAAACGACTATTTCTCTCAAAGCAGTCATTAATACTATACAATATCACGTTTCCCAGCTGGGACCTGACATTAGGCCCTGCTCTAATTGCTTGTTTTTTTTTCTTCTTCAAAGGTATAGGGTTAGAGCTAGGCTTACATTTTGGTTTTAGATTAAGTATAAGGTAAGGATTATGGTAAGTAGAGCGCTGGGTTCAGAGTTAAAGGGAGTGTGGTGTGGCAAATACTGGTTAACGCCATCTATGTCTTCTTTTGGACAACTGCACGTAAACGAATGGACTTGATTAACTGGGTCAGTGCGTGCTAGCGTTCGCGAAACAGACCGAAGTTCTCCTCACGCTCCTGTTTCGCGTATGTTGCACGCACGTGAATGTTGCGTCGCGTCGTCCGTAGTCGTATTATACCCGATTGGCCCCAAGTAGGGCCACGGGAAAGACGATAGTCTCGTCATGCTACACACCCATTAACATTCAGAATTCGCTTACTGTAGGAGATTGACGCGGAAATGTTGTCACATGAGCAAGTGTCGCACAACTTTCCCATCATTCATTTTGAGCAACTCGCCATTAAATGCGGACCCCGCTAGTCGCAACGCTCCCAGTTCATTATTTTCTTATTTTCTTGATATCTCTTGTAGCATTCGCGGATCATCCAGAATGTTTGGCGGAAACCCTGTTTTTCTTCTTATTATCTCTACCCTGGTAATAATTCAAGATGACAAACGCTGCTGGGTTACGGCCGCTGCACTTCCGAATCCGCCCGTCAACCTACTGGACCGAATCGACCAGGCATCTCTTCCCTTTGATGGAGCTCCTTATGACAGAAGTGAGTCAACAATAATAATTATAATAACGATGATTATAATAATGATATTTATAATAATAATGATAATTATGATAATAATGATAATTATGATAATGTTGATAATAATAAAAATGATAATTATGATAATGTTAATAATAATAATAATGATAATAGTAATGATAATAATAAGAAGAATAAGAATAATAATTATAATAATAATAAGAAGAAGAAGAATAATAGCAGTAATAAAGATAATGATAATGATATTAAAAATATTATGATAACATTTTAAGGCACCGATTCCAAATGACATCAAACCAAACTCTCAAGGCAAAAAAGTGCAGAATATGAAATTCCAGTACTTGCATTATACACAAAAAGCAACAATAGTAGGATAGAACATATACAAATGTAAAAAACGATTTAATGTTTGTCAAATCAATCACATTTTACCTGGAAACTGCTAGGGTAATAAAAACTGCACGGCCCGCAGGAAGAGCCGTACTAACACTGTTATAAGACATTTTGTTCATTATTTTATTTGACTAGGTCTTTTTGACGCCATATATAATTCGACAAGGCCAGAGAAACATATGTGTCGGATTCGTCGGTTCATAAAACCGCCGACGAAGTTTTGTTTCACTGTCCTTATGTAGCCCTTCAGGCACCAGCGTACCTACGAGGGGAGGAAGGGGGCAATCTGCCCCCCTGACGGATGACAAGCAAGTAATTAAAACAATAAAGGTCATCATCACCATGGCTAAAAAGTGGATCAATGTCTCAACGTCTGATTGACAAGCAACAACAAAAAAGGAAAGGAAAGGAAAGGAAAAGGGAAGAAAGAAGGGCTAAAAACACGATTTAGAAGTGGACCCAGGGCACTCACTTATCCGTATATAGGCCAAGGCCCCGTGGTTCAGCTAGCCATGCTCCGAGATTTGGGTAGTTTTTAGGTCATCAGAACTAGCCCTTATTCGTGTTTTAGGCCTATAATATAAAAACAAATGCCTATGATCGCTCTACACTATAGGGCGTACAAGTTACAACGTTCAAAAGTATATCAGGACTCAGTAAGCTTCAGGTCCATCTGTCAAATCATCATGCCGTTACACAATGTACAGGGCCCGCGAAACGGTAGGCTCGAGGGGGGCTCGAGTCCCTCTCTTTTTCTTTTCTAATAAGTGTCTTTTTCCCTTTGGATATGTGCCGTATTTTCCTTTCCCCATAAAAAGTGTTCCTAGTTTAAAGCGATTGGGATCAACTGTGTCTTTAATTTCATCCGAATCTGGCTCGCTATTCTCGCTCGTATTTAAATTTTATATAATTATGTTTCTTATCAAAGATCTTTTCAGTCTTTCATGATTAGATTGTGAAACCCCGTCAGGATTGTTTTTTCCTCTTTATAAGATGTAATTTTTGAACTGCGACGTCACCACCAACTGCAAAGAACATGTATGATGCTTAAAGGTATTACAAAGTTTTGGTATGGGGTCATGAATTTGGTTCCAATGAACATATTGGAAGCATATGCGATCCTACAATATTCAGTGATCGTTGTCGCGGTTGAAATCGAGTCTAAAGTTATGAAATTTTAAATATATAACTCTTTATATTGTATAGCTCCCTCTCAAGGTCAAGATATTAATTAAGCTATAAAACAATGTTTCTTGACTAAATTCGACCGATTAGCTATTCCCGTTTGGAAAATTATATATCACAGCTACATATTCTGAGATTTTCATGGTCAAAGCTATTATTGTACGGCCGTAGGCGCTATTTGAAATTTATCCAAATTTACCGGGAGCACCGGTAAATTTTTATATTCAAATTTTCTCAAAAGCAGAAGTGTTTTAGGGGCTAAATTTTCTAGTGCTTATAATACATCCACAGGGGCGCCAAAATATATCAAAATTGTAAAGAATCACTCTCCACCCAATTTTCAAAATTTCCAAAAACTTTATATTACAGTTAAAGCATCCCTGATAATGTACTCAAAATGTAAGGGTGTATACCAATTTCTTTAAAAAATGTATATATTCGCTTTGAGGTTTCCCTCTGTAGGTGCCCCCTTTTCCTGGAAAGTGCCCTTTATATTTGGTTGCCCCCCCCCCCCAAAAAAAAAAAAAATATATATATATATATATATATGTATATAATAATAATAATTGAAAAACGTTGAAGCCAGACACCAGTGATTTTTCTCTGCCCATCCCAACTGCTGTACTAGTCTTGTACTGACTGGTTTTAACAATCAAGTGATACCTGAGGTACTAGGAAACTGTACCATGTCAATTATGGTTGTCAACATTGATGCATTGAGGATCTTGTTTAGAAATGAAATAAAAAGGATAAACATTATACGTTATGGACTCTTGATCTTGTTGATGGAATTATTACTGGGTTTAGTTAAAAATGTATCAATATTAAACACTAACACCTCGAGGTACCGGTGTCATGAATACCAGTGTCCTAAAGACTTTTTTTTCTACACCGGCGTGTCCCGCTTTTTGTGTTTACAGTCTTTTCCTCCCAGAAATCCAAGGCTTATCACAATTACATGCTGGAAAAAGTCACAGATTTAAAATGATATCCTGGCAAAATGTATACACCAAATCGCCCGAATTGAGTTTGAAATTTTTTCTTCAGCTTCTCAGTGGGGCACACCCCCCTCCAGACTCCACCCTGTCCGTGCAAGCGCGAAACGCCTCTAAATATTTTCTCACGAATTGCCCCCCCCCCGTGTTTTGGGTACAACCCTAGTCCCCCTTCACCCCTTTCCACACCAACATATCCCTCTTGCTCCCCCCCCCCTCCCCCTGACGACGTATGCCAGGTACGTCACTGCCTTCAGGGTTAGACTATACCCGACCCCCAGCTTTGTAAGGTCCATGTTTTTGTATTTTTTTCCTCAGATGATGCGACAGACGTGACTATCTTCATTCTTGATACTGGGGTCCTGTTTACTCACGATGAGTTTACCAACGGCCGCGTTAGGTTTTATAACGATACCGTTACACCAAACGTGAGTATTATTATTACTTCACGACTCTTTAGTATCTTACGAGAATCAAATCAATATCCCCGTTATTCCTCTCATGCGTATTACGAAGGAAACATCACTAATAAAGGCCTAACGTTAAAAAAACGGGGTGAAGAAAGGTGATAATTGAATGTAGACCTAACAAAGAAATGCCCCCCCCTCCCCCATCCCTTAACAAAAATCTCATTACTAACCATGCATGCTACGGAAGAAATAGAATATATGAAAAGTGGTCAAAAGTCTTGTTTGTCAAAAACCGGGAAATATGGCGTAATATACGTGGACCACTGAGCCAGGAGCCAGGATTTTGTGAGAAGAAAAAAAAAATCATTAATTGGGCATTTTTTTTATATTGTTGTTGTGTTTTATGGGTTCCGTTGGGTACATGTTGGGTAACAGTTGGATTTTAAGGGGGCAGGGAGGCCTATATAGGGATGATTGTCCAGCTTGAATCCGATACTGTTTGTAGGAAATGGAGGGGGTAGTGTAGACAGGCGATTGCGGATGCCTACAGTCTGGTTCATATATGATGCGGTAAAACCGCCGCCCCCCCCCCCCTCCCCAAAAAAGAGGGTTTTCCCTTATTTTTTAAAAACGGGTAAATGTATGGCAAGTGCGGGCAATAAAGGTCCTACGTGTATGCGCTGAGCTCTGTGTTATAAGATTAAGTAATGTGAAGTGTATTACACTTTATATCCCGCATACTAAGAATCTTGCAATCTGATTGGTCTAAATGAGGTCACATGATCAATGATAGATAAGTACTATCTCCCTACGATAGGACTTGTGTACATTAATTTTTTGCTGCTGCCCCTCTTGCCCATTGAATAAGCATAGCAAAGTACGTTACGCCAAATGTCAATGTCAATATCAATGTCAAATGAGCGCGCATCGACTTTATTACATGTATGCATGTTGTGCTATGTAAAATCTAGCTGAAGCTAAACTGTCTACAGAATTAGTTCTTTTAATTATTTAAAATTCACTTTAAATAGACCTTATTGCCGATTTGGGATATAAAACAAATATTAAACTCCTTTACTCTGGCAATATACAAACTATCATCGCCGAGGGAATCTCGGGGCTACCATCATCCCTCGCCTTGCAGCTCGTGATGATAGTAGCCTCGAGATCACCTCGGCGATGATAGTTTGTAATTCTACCCTCGTAGTCGATTAATATTTGCTTAGTATATATAGGCCTAAATGTTTTGTTTACTACAACAACAAAAAACAGCCGTTAATTACAGCTAAATACCTGAAGGAGGCTTTCAATTGTTACGTTTTCATTTCTCTCATAAATCCTTATTCTTGCTTTGTAGTCGCCCTTTATGGTGGACGTCAATGGCCATGGGACCCGCTGTGCGAGCACAGCCGCCGGGGCCAACATAGGAGTCGCTCAGGGAGCGACCGTAGAGAGCATTCGGGTAGCTGGATCAGATGGCTTAGCCGCCGCTAACGACGTCCTCGCAGGTTTGTACTTTGAACGAGAATTTAGACAAGTTTGAGCTCTGGAAAAAGTGAAAGGAAATTGGGAGCTTTTTCATTCTGTTCATTTTTGTGAGGAAGGATGGCTCTTTACATGCCCTCATGTTCATAATATGAAAAATACTCGTTAAATATATCATGTCACAAGCACAGCCCAATATACACATTTCTGTGCCGATGTGACATTCATAAAAACTGGGCAAATTTATCATCATGATGATGATTCCAAAACCTCACAATTTCCAGAAATACTTATCTGCAATATAAACCTTTTCCACGCAATTTCTTTTACTATTGAATCGCATGAAAAGAACTCAACTTTATCCTTAAAACAATAGCAAAACCGAAGACAAAAATAACCCTACTTGTCATCACCTTTGGAATATGTAACATTCGAGCGAACATATTTAAATAATCCCCCCAAAACACTTTTATAGGGCCAATACCATAGGGAAGAGAATTTGGTCTTATCGATTTCTTGAAAGTCTTAGTGATCTATTTGTTCGATTCTATGAGTACATGAATTTATAAACAGGAGGGGAAAAACAAGAAGAAATCAAAGAAAAAATAAATTAAATGAATAAATAAAACTAAACACAAAGTAAACAAACAAAGAAACAAACAAAACACATAAAGGCCTTGATATAGAAACGTTGTTTATTCCGGTTATTGCACTTCTGAGGGATCAGTCCTTCCAACATGTCAAGAAACATATAAAAGCGCCATCTACGGTTCCGACTGTGCTTAATGTATACCCTCCTATCTGCCACGTCGACTCCGATGCCTTGAACACGTTTGCATTTTTCAGCAACCGAGTTTCTTTTTTAAAGACCGTCAATACTACTGGGCCAGAAGAGATTAGACCACCCAGCCAGGTCACTGACAGGTGGCTATCTCATCAACTCAGCTCTCATCTAACATAAGAAAAAGAGGATCATGGGGGACCAACAGGAACCGATTGGGGAAGTTTTCTATATAGAGGGAGCAAGTAGCTACAAGTAGGACAGTGGGGCTTAAACAACAGAACTTGGTTAAATTTAACGAAACGATCCACTTAGACCATGCATGATACATATTTCCACGAACCTCTGGACCCTACTGCATAATTCGTCGCTGTTTTCACGAAGTGACGGTAGTGAAAAAGAATTGCATTCACTTTGCGTTACGATTTTCCTCACTACCGTCACTTCGTGAAAACAAGGACGAATTGTTCATGTGCAGCTCTATATCTCTAGAAACATGTTTGGATGACATAAAGCTATCGAAAATGTTGAATGATTCAATATTATTAAATCCAGAGTCGTTTCCTGTTTAGCACCTTTCACGTCGTTGTACTTAAAAATCAAATCGCAATTTGATCCACATAGTAGCTGTGTAAGAATTGTATTAAGTGGTATGTATTATATTTAGAAGAAAAATGATCCGCTGGTAAATCTGTGATGTTTCCGGTAAGTGGCTCGACATATTGATTCACGTCATTTTGCTACAAAATTCAATAACCGAATTCTTAACTGCAAATTTGGAACCCAAACTAGGCCAAAAATTATTGTTTAGATACCCAACCCTTATCCTAACCCTAACACCTACCCCTAACCCCCAAACCTAACCTTCAATCCAATCGCAACCTTAACCATTACTCTATACCAATCACGAAATAAATCAAGCAGCAATATTGTGGCAGGAACGCATGTCTTGTCACCTATATTTTGTTTTGTTTTTCTTACATCCTATTCATACAGGGCTTGACGATGTTCAACGGTGGTGGAACAAAAACCCGGGCTCTAAGTGTGTCGTCTCCTACTCACTGATTTCCACGTCATTTAGTACGACACTCAACTATGCTTTCGGGAACGTCAGCAAAAACACTGATTGCGTGGTCGTCGTGGCAGCCGGAAACCAAGGTTCAGATGTCAGCCAGGCTGATGCCTGTAACTACTCTCCGTCTGCATCACCCCATGTAATTATTCACCGATTCGGAGAGCTCAACGTGGAAGGGCGTACGAGCGGTTGAGCGTGCAGCGAGAATGCGACTTGTTTGACTTTTTGCCTTTTGTTTAGGTCGAGAATACGATAAAGAGTTTTAACAGGCCATCTTCTCATCTCCTCGTTATTAACAAGGCTTCTTGGCGAGTTTTAACAATTCACCTTCTCATCGTCTTGACTTAAACAAGGCGCTCTGCCGATCGAGTTCAGTTATCTTCTCTACTTCTCGACTGAAACGAGGCCTCTTGCCGAGTTTTAACAAGTCGCCCTCTCGACTTCTTGGCATTCAGAAGGAGCAATGGCGAGTTCAACAAGTCACCTCCTCGCTGCACATTATTTTAAGCTTCCATTTAAGCTGTACGTGTAAGCCCCCCCCCCCCTCCGGTCAATAATGGGGAGGGGAGGGCCTTCGAGGGGCATCGAGTACGCTTTATACTAGTTTTAACTATTATGTTAAAAACTATAGTTCCCGGACTACCTGGCACCAATCTGATTTAATAAGACAACGAATCATCTGTTGTTATGCTCTTTGATGGCCCCCAGCTCTGTTGGACGACGAAGAACTACAGTGCTCCCAGAAACCATTGGAAGAGAATCGGTTTATACAAGTCCTGTAGTCTTAAAAACATTTAGAATGCTCCTTTTCTTTAACATTGAGTGGCCTTTCCCCCTGCAAATAAGTGCCCCCCTTCGTCTCTTACAAGCAGCTATTCAAACAAGAGAAGTTCCCCTTTTTAAAAACGAAGAGTACCCCTTCAGTTTCCCTTCAAAAAGAATGCTCCTTCTCTGATAAGTCGCTATTCAAATCTGAGAAGTGCACTTCTCTGTTAAGTCACCTTTTCCTTTAACATTGAGTGGCCTTTCCCCCTGCAAATAAGTGCCCCCCTTCGTCTCTTACAAGCAGCTATTCAAACAAGAGAAGTTCCCCTTTTTAAAAACGAAGAGTACCCCTTCAGTTTCCCTTCAAAAAGAATGCTCCTTCTCTGATAAGTCGCTATTCAAATCTGAGAAGTGCACTTCTCTGTTAAGTCACCTTTTCCTTTCTAATGAGTTTTTTCTCCTTTAAATAAAATTGAATTGGGCTTAGTGTCCCTTTTCAAATGTGATAAGATCCCATTGTCGAATCTGGTAAACTCACAGGAACTGCAAAGCACATTTAAAAATCAATCATGTTGCAAAGAGGCATTATCACAATAGGTGCTATGATCAGACATATTTCTACCCCTCCCCTTCCCCCAAAGCAATATATCCCTAATTTAAAGCAAGTGAGAGCCCTATTTTGTGAAATTACCCCAAAGCCGATTGGCTACACTCGCTCACATTATAGTTCATGTAATTATGGAATTAATCTTAAATTTCCCGTTCACTTGATTCGCTCCCTCGCAAATAAAGTATTACGTTAATTACAAACAACTGCAAAGTATGACGCTAAAACCGCTATCTATAACCGCGTAAGGAGAAAAGCAATAACATATTGATGATCCTTGGAAATATATCAACTAGAATTTAGGGATACACATGTATACAAATGCCTCAAAATTGTATTTTTTCCGCCTAGCGGTTACACTTTGTCAGTACCCCATCTTCCCTCCCGAGTTTCTGCTACCCCTCCCCCTTTGAAAGACGCTTCGCGCCTTCGACACCCCTGTACAATACTTATTTTTTTCACATTGCTTTTTGCTCTTAGGTTATCACGGTCGGAGGGTCGAGATTCCGTCAAAATGGCATGTCCGATGATCGTATCGGAATCTCCAATTACGGTCCTTGTGTCGACATCTACGCCCCAGCAAGAAATATCGATCTCGCTGCCCCTTCCGGTAGCAGTAATTCCCACTACCTGAGATCATCCGGCACCTCCTTTGCAACACCTGCGGTGGCAGGTAAGAAAAACAAATTATAATAATAATAAAATCAATAATAATTATAACGATAATAATAATAATAATAACAATAATAATTAAAATATGAATAATAATATTAATAAAGAGTAAAATAATAATAGCAAGGGGGAGAGGGTTGCAGTTGGGTGTTGGGCTAGAGTTGTGATTAAACCTAACCCTAAAAACCTTCAAATGTTTGGTCCAGGGTTGAAGTTATGAATTCGGTTTGTGTGGGGAATTGAAGGTAAAGCAATGTCCTTAGATTAGTACAGCAACAAATGATTTTTGTCACAGAATGAATCTAATTGTAATGCTTATAGTATAGGTGTAAGTAAATGATTGCAAGTAGAGGTGTCGTGGTCTAGTGTTTACGTCGTCGGGCAATATAGCTCACATGGTTCGCAGCACTACATTTGCCACTGGCCATCCAGGGGTTAAATGGGTACCCGTAGGAAGGAATTCCTCGAATACTGTGAGGATCGAGAACCGTAGCCGGAGAAATATTGGAGTACCTTGAGCACCTTGCGTGGTTGACATGTGTGCTATAAAACACATAATACAACTATTACTATTATTATAATTATGATTATTATTATCATCATATCTTTCACGGTTGGTGTACCTAGGTGCTGCGGCCATGATTCTGTCCACCACTAGCCTGACACCTACTGGGAGGAAGACAATGACTGATCTCGTCCTGGACATCCTTGTTGCGACAAGTTCCAAGGATAAGCTAAGGAGTCTTCCATCCAGCAACGCCGCGACTTTACCTTCCAATAACCGCCTTCTAAACGTTGCCAGCGATATTTTCTACGCGTAAACCCCGTTGGGCGTAATTGTTAATGATAATGTAACGTGGTGATTGACATTGTCGATATTATTGTCATTGACTGATTACAACATTGATGAAGTAATATTAGTGACGGTATAAAACGTTTCTATATTCTATTTAGATCAAGATTTCGTTTAATTTTCTCGACATTATTGGTGGTTAGTTTTCGCTACTTGCCAGGACTTTTTTTTAAACTAATCTTTCTTCTCATGTCCACCTCATGCCATTAATTCTTTAACCAACGTGCATGGAAATTGTAAAATGCCATAACGTTTTTTAGTATATGGTACATATACAATACAGGTGTGATAAAAGTCGACTGTAGCAAAGCATTGTTTGTTCCTTTAGACCACCAAAGCAAGGAAGGATTAAGTTAGTCATGATATCGCAAATTCTTACATTTAAAAAATTCTGTATCATATTCATTTTTCATTCAGTCCCGGGTCGGCCTCGTCCGGTGAGGCTTGAGCATTTCTGTATTCACAGGATTATTTAAAAGTATCTTCATTTCTAGAATGGAGTTTGCATTTCTATTAGCTATTTCTTTCTTTCGCAACCAACAATCCCTCAATTCCTTCAACAAAAACAAAAAAACTCACCTCTTTTGTTACATTACATAAATTTAAAGCGCATTTGAACTTATATATGGAAAATGCACTGTATAAATACTCTATTATTTTTAATATAATATATATATCTGTTTTTGTTTAAATACAGATATCAACTGGATTGAGTTAGAGCATTCCCTTGGAGCTCGCTTTTACCACTCAGGGAATATAAGACCTTATAGTACACCCCATCCCATCAAGCACAAGTTAGATTAAGATAATGTATCGTGTTCATTATTCAGTGTTATCAAGATTGCTTAACATTCTGTCCCATTTTCTTTACCGTGTATTCTGAATATTAGATTTAAACTCTGAAATGATGATAATAAACGATTGATATTGTTGGTTAGCATATATATGTTTCTTTGTTTTTCGTATATATATAATATTTGTACTTTTTTTCATTTTCATGTATTTGTTAATCAGTGTTAATACATGTTGATTTGACACTGTATGTGTTGGTGTGGAAGCAGCCAGAGAATGATTTTATGCCAATTTAACGTTCATTTTGGGGTTTTTAACATTCATCTATTTATGCACAATAAACGTGCCAGGACGAAATTATTCATTTTCGGAACCTCCCTTATTTGTTCTCAAAAATAAGTATCTCAAATTGTGTGAAAAATATTTGAAAAGGGATATAAAAGAAATATCCTCCAGGACTTATATTTTTGTCTCCATATTCTACCATTTGTCATGATAATGAGCATAAGGAATTGAATTCTCTAGTCTTCTCGAAAAGAGAACATTGAATATGTTGAATATATATATATTTATAATTATACTCTAATTTTAATGGTTTTAACATTTGTATCATATAAAACTAATTCTATCAGAAACAAATCATACAGACGCGTTAAAATCAAAGGAAGAAAAATAAATAATCCTGAAAAACAAAAGGGGTTGATCGGATAGTTATGACATCCTATCCCAACGGCCAGTTGCTAGTTTGACCTCCACCACGCCTGTATTGATCAGATCCGTGGAGGAGCCGAATACCCGCTTCACAAGTCCGTGGAACATGTGATCCAGATCCAGAATAATACAGTCATTAATCTTTAGTTTGACGTTTTTTTATATCCCGTCTACCAAATAGGAGCATTCTTGACTTTGAATAGGGGACACACACTTCCAATCTTTAACACCAGTTTTCTATCTCTTTCAACGCCGATTGAACTATTTAATGTGAATTTTAAGTTTCGGTTGGAAAACCAGATACAAATATAATCTGCAAAAAATGAAACGTTGGCCGTTTTGTTTAAAAAAAAAAAAAAAATCGGGATTCTTGAAAATAAATGTAAATAGTAGTGGACTGATTACACTTCACCGTACTGCCTTCCTGTTTGACAGTGTCCCGTCTACTCTAACTTGAGCAGTTCTCCGGCTGATAATCGCTTCGACCCATTCCTCTCAAACCTGTTTCGTACATTTTATATATAATTCCTTTTCTCCATAGCACATCGTATGCTTTCTCTAAGTCTAGGAAGACCACGATTGTATACTATAAGGCCTTAAGAATATCAGTTTCTAATCTAATGATTTGGTCCACTGTGCTCCTCTCTTTTCGAAAACCCGGTTGCAACGGGGTTAACATCATATATTTCAATAAACCATGTCAAACGGTTTTTAACCACCCTCTCCATAAGCTTACAGTGTACTCTAGATAGTGAGATTGGTCTGTATGATGAAGGGTTTGATGGATCTCTTCCAGCTTTTAAAACTGAAATTAGAATGGCATGTTACCATTATCCGGGCAGGATGCAACTGCCCCAGATCCCATTAAACAAATCGACAAGATAATGGAAAGCGATATCTGGCAAGTGGCAACCGTCTAATCAGTCTGGGTAATATTCCGTCCTACCCGGGCGCTGAATCCTTCATCTCAGTTATAGTCCTTGTCCAGCTCAGTTACTGTAAAATATTTGTTTAATACATGTTCACTGTCTTGACTTAAATCAAGCTAATCAATAACTTCCAGTTCAAGCTCGTTCCTTCTTTCACAATCATCTCCACTCAAAGATAAGCCAACACTAAAAAATACTTCCAGAAAGGTGTTTGCTTTGTCAAGCGAATTTATAATGGAGACTCTGAGCTTTCTCGAGTAATGGTAGTAATATCACGTGGTTGGGCATTCCTTATACCTTTAACATTTTCCCAGACCGTACTTATATCCGTGGTACGAGATAACTTTGTACAGTGTTGATGCCAGTCAGGCGCGCCGGAAGCAGTTTGGGATTTTTGTTTTGGCGGGGGGGGGGGGGGGCAAACATTCCGGGGGGCTCCTCTTTCAGGGGCGGTGGCGTAATGAGCAAAAATGTTTGGGGGCATCACCACCACTCTTACATGTTACATGCAGGCCCCGCGGAACAGTATTGCGTAGCGAGCGTAAATTGGCGTGGGATCCAGTGGCGGAGCATCGGCGGGGTCAAGAGGCGGAGCCCCAAGAAGCTTAGGGTTTTTAGGCACCCTTTTTTGACACTATATGGCGGGCGGTCCAGGGAGCTGAGCCCCCTAAATCTTAGGGGTTTTAGGCATTCAATAACGGTCAGATGAGCATCCAGTGGCCGCCTTAGGGCCCTTGGTGGGGTCCAGGGGGATGAGCACCCGTAAGCTCAGGGGTTTTAGGTATTTAATTACGTGAGATGAGCATATTTGATACCTAATTTTGTGACACGGCCGGTCACTCATTTTGTTCTTTCTCTTGAAATTAATGCATTAAGAAAAGTGACTAATTGGATCAAAGTGAATAAACTCTCATTGAACTTACAAATAATTAATTACATGCTTTTCAGTAACTCCATTAACGTTCTTCCAGGTGATATAATCTTTGACTTGTTGGACCAGGGGCGGATCCAGCCGGCGGCAAGAGGGGGGCCCAATTCGTGAGAAAATATTTATCGGCGACTCAGCAAGCCGGCAAATAAGCGGGGGTGTGTGTGTGTGTGGAGGGGTGGGGGGTAAAGCATTATTATTTTTTTTGGGGGGGGGGGCGGGGTAAAAGCACTATTTGTTGACCTATCCCCCCGAACCCCCCCCCCCCCCCCCCTACGTGGATCCGCACCTGTGTAGAACTCCCCGAAGGGGTTGTACATTTTAACTTTACGATCTCAAATGCTGTGAATCATTATCATCATCATCTCACGAGGGGAACAAACATTATCAAACATTAAGGTTAAATAATTCATATTAACAATTCAATATAGATAATCATACAAATCATCACGGTTCATATATTCTTTCGGGCAAACAAAACATACACACAATAATCAAGTATCTGAGTGAGAGATCAACTCTCTCAGACGTCAATAATTAAAATGAAAATAACTGTGACCACTGGATAAATAATCTACGGGTCTATCTCAAGGGAGTATGAAACTCACATCGAGGTTTATCACCTTCACGATCAAAAATGAATGCACAAATATAATCAATCATACAAAAACAACAATAATCAATCATCAAAAATCAAGCACAAGAATGCTCATGGTTTTTTTTATAGTCACTAAGGGGCCGTGGCCACTAACAGTAACACTAGTAAAAAAAATCCTTTCCAGAAGCAACTGTGACAAGCACTGCCGGGCGTTCCATACTTACATCATGTAACACTGCACATATGTACCGTTAAGGGGGCCCAGTGGGAAAATTGAATTCAGACAAGATTAAGAGTAGTGAACGGTACAACGAATCGTTTTCCTTCTTTAATAATTTAATGAAGTATCAAAGCTTCCGCGCTTTGCGTGAGATGGGCGAAAATGAATTGAGACAAGGATTAAGAGTCGGAACCGGTACAATGAATCGTCTTCTTTCTCTAATAATTTTATGAAGTGTCAAAGCTTCCGTGCTTCGCGCGGGAGGGGGGGGGTAAAACTGAATTCAGACAAGAACACGATGCAACGAATCGTCTTCTTTCTCTAATAATTTAGTGAAACGTGAAAGCTTCCGCGCTTCGCGCGGGATGGGCAAAAATGAATTCCGACAAGGATTAAGAGTATAGTTTAATGAAACGTCAGAGTTTCCGCGCTTCACGCGAGATGGGCGAAAATGAATTCAGACAAGGATTAAGAGTCGGAACCGGTACAATGAATCGTCTTCTTTCTCTAATAATTTTATGAAGTGTCAAAGCTTCCGTGCTTCGCGCGGGAGGGGGGGGGGGTAAAACTGAATTCAGACAAGAACACGATGCAACGAATCGTCTTCTTTCTCTAATAATTTAGTGAAACGTGAAAGCTTCCGCGCTTCGCGCGGGATGGGCAAAAATGAATTCCGACAAGGATTAAGAGTATAGTTTAATGAAACGTCAGAGTTTCCGCGCTTCACGCGAGATGGGCGAAAATGAATTCAGACAAGGATTAAGAGTCGGAACCGGTACAATGAATCGTCTTCTTTCTCTAATGATTTAATGAAGTGTCGAAGCTTCCTTCAGACAAGGATTAAGAGTAATAATTTATTGAAACGTCAAAACTGCTTCGCGCGGGAGGGGGGGGGGGGGACTGGATCCAAACAAGAAATAAGAGTCGAGAACGGTGCAATGGATCGTCTTCTTTCTCTAATAATTTAATGAAGTGTCACAGTTTCTGCGCTTCGCGCGGGGATGGGGGGGAGAACTGAATTCAGACAAGAACACGATACAACGAATCGTCTTCTTTCTCTAATAATTGAATGAAACGTGAAAGCTTCCGCGCTTCGCGCGGGATGGGGGAAAATGAATTCCGACAAGGATTAAGAGTAATAATTTCATGAAACGTCAGAGTTTCCGCGCTTCACGCGAGATGGGCGAAAATGAATTCAGACAAGGATTAAGAGTCGGAACCGGTACAATGAATCGTCTTCTTTCTTTAATAATTTAATGAAGTGTCAAAGCTTCCGCGCTTCGCGCGGGAGGGGGAAACTGAATTCAGACAAGAACACGATACAACGAATCGTCTTCTTTCTATAATAATTTAATGAAACATGAAAGCTTCCGCGCTTCGCGCGGGATGGGGGAAAATGAATTCAGACAAGGATTAAGAGTAATAATTTATTGAAACGTCCAAACTGCTTCGCGCGGGAGAGGGGACTGGATCCAAACAAGAAATAAGAGTCGAGAACGGTACAATGGATCGTCTTCTTTCTCTAATAATTTAATGAAGTGTCAAAGTTTCCGCGCTTCGCGCGGGGGGAGGGGGAGACTGAAAAATAACTTAGTTCCTGGCCACAGGTTTAGAGGGTTAAATTTGTAGACATTTGGACATTGGCATCAATATAATTGTCGGTAATTGGTTGCTCCTTTTGTCTGTAATCGGTGGCCTCTACACCCTCCCCACTTCCCCACTGACAAAGATCTAGCGACGCCCCTGATAACGACACAGTTTATACACTCGAGAATTTTTTTGCAAGTACTACTGATGAAGTACCGGACCACCGTCTTTGTGCATTGTGCGGCATCAAAGCATATACAACGTCTCAAGATGTGACAGATCACTTTTCTCTAACTTCTAACCAATAAGAAGGCCTCGTTTTTTCCCAGGAAGTGCCGGTGGACATTAATGCGCCAAATGTGGTTCTCAAATTGCAAAAGATCCCTACTCTTGGAAGGGATAGGAGAAAGCAACTTTACGTCATATCACTCCAGGAAGTGCCTAAAAATGCATCTAATTTGGTTCTAAAATTGCAAATGCTTCTTACTCTGGGAGGGGGCCAGAACCCACTCCCAAACCAACCCCCGCTTGGTCGCTCCGCTCTCTCGCCGCTAAAGCCTCGTTCTGTCGCTTCATCGTTTTACATATATTTAACCCCATGCCATTTGGTCCCCCCCCCCGGTAAGAAATTCCTGGATCCGCCACTGATGCCCATACCCCTTGAGCTTCGGGGGCTCCGCCCCTTGACCCCCGCCGGAGCTTTGCCCCTATACCCCACTTTGCGAAACATTCAGCGGGGCCTGCATGTTAGAGTGGGGTGCTGCGGATTTTTTTGGTCAGCCCCCCCCCCCCCCCCCCCCAAACGTTTTTGCTCATTACGCCACTATGAAGGGGTGATCGTCATCAGCAAGGGATTTGTTTGTCAGCTTGTCTGTCAGATTCTTTCGGCGTAGTCTTGGTGGTGCAATTCCTACAATGAATGGGAGGAGATATGTGGGTGTAGGCCGTAGACATCCAGTGATGAGCCGCACGGTGTCATTAAGTGCACAGTCTGGGGAAATATATTCAACACCGCTGAAAACCAGGGCTAGTGCTCCTGTGTGAAGGGTGGATGTTGATGCACCCCATGATGTATTATCCAAACGGCGCAACAAGTTGTTTCGTGCTGAGACTTTCGCACGTAGGGCTTCGAGGTGCTGTTTGTAGGTCAGCTGTCTGTCCAGTTTCACTCCAAGATATGTTGGGTGAGGGTTCTTGGTAGGGGTGTCCTGTTATTGCCGCAGTGAGGTCCACTAGAACGCAGCATCTGATTTGTTGCATTTTTCAAAGCTCTCTTTTATATCATTAGTCAGCTTGGCAATCTGATGGACAGTACACCGACCACGACGGAAACCGGCTCAACCACCGGGTTGAGTCGGGCCAAAAGGGGCCTTCCGAGAATTTTGAATGGCGCGCACAGGAGTGAAATTGGCATGTAGCTCTTAGGATTATCTGCAGGCTTGTTTGGTTTTAGAAGGGCAACAACGGTAGATATCCTCCAGATATTCGGGATATGCAGCCTAGTGAGGCAGGTCGAGTAAAATTCACGGAACCAGTCTAGGTTCTTGGCGCCAAATGTGAGCTCAGCAGATGCGAAGGGTTTGGAGAGGAAACGCCTAGAGTATTCCAGAGTCTTGAAGTTTCCTGTTTTACAGTCCGGGTATGCCTTTGTCTGCATTCTTGAAGTTGTCATTGGCAAGCAGCTGCTGGGCAATGGAGTTTGATGTGACAGGGCAGTGCTTCGGACGGGAGTTGCGGCCAGTGAGACGGTTAAGGGTCATCCAAGCCATCCTGCTAGCAGGCTTGGGGGGGGGTGGGGATTGTACCCCCCCCTTGACTTTTTTATGTGTGTGTTTAGGAGGAAATCCCCCCCCCCCCTTTGCGTTTTTTTGTGTTAATACAACAAAATAAAAAATAAATAAAATGGTAATTAATGGGTGACCCCCAAAACCAGACCTTATCCCCCCCCCAACGAAACGATCGGTCAATTTTTCAAATTTTGGGGCAAAAAATAAATGAATATGTCCTCTTACCCCCCCCCCCCCCCCCCTCCTATCCTATCCTATCCATAAACAACTTTTTTTTCTGTAAATGTTTGGACGCATGCTCTCTGAAGAAGATGTTGTGTTCTTCCTAACTAGGTTTTCGATTCCAATACATGTGTATTTGATTTAGAATTGCTCTTCTCATAATACTATAATCGAATATATTTCCTACTTCCTCATCCAGCTGTTTGTTGACATAGTATTCTCAAAAGTTCAATAATCTTTTAATGGATGAGTGTGGAATACATTGAAGGGGAAGTACACCATGATAAAAACAGAAAATGAGAGAAACATATTATTGAAAGTTTGAGGAATATACGATCGAAAAATAGGATAGAATTTGTGAAGTTATCATCTGTGAAACACAAATTGACAACACTGTGACGCATCATGCGAGCTCTTCTCCAATATGATCTGTAGAGAAAATTTAATAAACTTTCATTTTCTTAAAGTTATTGATGAAGAAATAGAATTGCGTCATACAGAGCTCGTATAAAACAAATTTGTGATGATTATATTTAGGGTGCATATATGATTGGACATTTTTTATAGGGAAAAATAGAAGTTTCAGGTTTGTTTATAGTACAAAGCAAATGGGAGGGGAGCTCGCACGATACGTTAAAGAGTTGCCCTGCTCCTCTCAATGTTCTGCTTCTATCAAAACCAACTTAAAGGGAAAGTCCACCCCCAAAATAAGTTTGTTTCGATAGAGGCAGAATAATAAGAAAATCAGGTGAGTGAAAGTTTGAGCAAATTCTGAATGAAAATAAGAAAGTTATGAATTATTGAAGTTGTGATCAATCAAATACAAATTGGCAACTCTGTGACTTATCATACGAGCTCTCCTTCATTTGCTTTGTGCATAATATTCCATAAAATCATGTTTTCTTCGTTATTGATGACGGAATATATATTTGTTCCTTGCAGGGGGAGTATAGAAACATATTTGCAATTATTATATTTAGGGTGCATGTATGGTTGAAATTTTTCTTGAGGGAAAATGAAAATTTTAGATTTTTTTAGTACTGAGCAAATGGAAGTTGAGCTCGCATGATACGTCATAGAGTTGCCAATTTGTGTTTGATTGATCACAACTTCAAAAATCCTAACTTCCTTATTTTTAATCGGAATTTGCTCAAACTTTCACTGACTTGTTTCTCTCATTTTTCTACTCCTATTAAAACTAACTTAATTTCAGGTTGGACTTCCCCTTTAATATCAGGGAGGACTTCCTAGGCAAGATATGAACCTATCAGAATACAATTTTCTGTTGTGTTTTTCACTTCTCGAACAGTGTTTAATGTGGAGGGAAATATTGATGAAAGCAACCCCTAACAATTGCATTAAAAAAGGTCCCCTTTACTTTTGTTCTGCGTCAAAATTTCCTCCATTCTTTTCGTTCAAAAATCTGTTTATCACTATTAACTCAAACATTTCTGTAGGATTCCATCACGTACGATGTAAGCCATTTTTTACCAGAAAAAAAATCCTGTTTCTATATGATGTAGGTCACCAAGGTTTAAAGTTACTGTCATTAAAGATAAACTTGAGTTCTGGTAAAGAAAGAAAATTAATTCTCACAGAATCTAACGAAACTTACACGGAATGTTCAAGATTACAAATAAATGTCATGTGCCAAACAATTTTGGAAGAAAATGTATACTGGCTGAGTAATGAGCATGGAAAGATAAGGAAATCAGGGTAGTACTAGCCCCGACACCATGTGTGTTGTCCAATTTCTGTGTAAGTGATTGTTACTTTACCAAGACTCAGCCAAATTTATGATGATTTTGATGACTCCAGAACCTTGCATTACACACCATTACTTACATGCTATATGATCAACTATTCTGATCCATTCCACACCTTTTCTTTCACAATACAATCGCATTGCAGAACCCAAGTTTATCTTTAATATCGGAACAAATAGGTTTGTTTTAGGTTCGGTTGTTCTTTGCTTGTTCTTTGCTTGTTTGTTTGTTTTTCCGATTTTTTTTTGTCGGGGGAACAGTAAAAAATTAAAACACTCACACTTAAATTGGTGTACTCTTATCAATTGATTAGAGTAATTATACGAATACTAGATAACACAAGATTACAGGCCTACACATTATTTACATGAGCGTCACAGAGGGCTAAGGCCAATGGTACCGATAGTGACTGTTAAATTAGTTACTTTTTTTTTTAAAGAGGAAAAGAAGAAGAATGAGAACAAGAAGAAGAAGAAGATGGAGAGAACAAGAATAAGGAGGAGAAATGAAGAAGATGGAGCAGGGGAAGAAGAAGGAGAAGATGAAGAAGGAGAAGAAGAGGAAGGAGAAGGATCGAGGAGGAGAAGAAGAAGAAAATAATAGGAAGAAGAAACGTTTACTCTCAATTTACTCATTGCACAATGTCAGAAATGTCATTTAAAAGTCTTTAGAGAAGGAGAGAGAGAGAGAAAGAGAGAGAGAGAGAAAAAGAAAGAGAGAGATAGAAAGAGAGAAAGAGAGAGAAAGAGAGGAGGAGAACAAAAGGGATGCCAAAAATAAAAATTTTCATAGGTGAAATGCATAAACCGTACACGTTAAAAACGTCACCAAAAGTCAGAAAATGAAATATGAAAGGAGAAATGTCGTGATTACCCAACCTGAAAATGCGCCTTTAAACAATCATTCACAAAGCTGTACTGCTTAAGTGCCAGCCTACACTTACAACGGAAGTAGTGAGGGGTGACTACAACTTCTATTGTGTCGATCACGCAAAAGTAATGATCAGCTATTGCGACACACGAAGAACTAAGGGGGAACTTATCCTCATTAATTAAAACCGTTTCGATGATAAGGACACGTTCACTGTTAGGTCCGCAGAGCATTAACTTTTATCATGCCACAGGGCTAATCCCTATAGTGCCAGGCCACAAATCCCCCGAGTGCCAAATTTATAACGAGATAATTGGATTAACGCGATGGTACTGTCAATAGCGCGTGCGAAGCACTAGGCACAGTCCAATGGGCATGAACAATAACTGCTATTACATCTGCGTGCAATCATGCAAGAAGCAGAGGAGCAGTAGCTTGCTAGCGAGCACAAGGCACTATAACAATAGCGTGCATGCAGCCTAATGGCAGGCTATGAGTTAACAAAGATATATCTGTCGCAAATTTATAAACATTCAACTTGACATACCTTGTCTTATACTCCGTGTTGACCTGCGAAAGAAATATCATCATCTGAGATATTGTAGATTAAAATAGAGAAATGATCGCCATATTAATTGCTCACAGTGATTAAATTGTTGTGTGTAAATCAGATTACTTCTGCTTTTGACGGTAAACTTTGTAAGAAGACTGCTAAGCTATGCTGGTCGAACGCCTCAGTTTGCTGCTTTTTTTCTCAGTCGGCCTGATGGGAACCAAGATCTGCAAGGCCCAACAGGATCGTAATCCAATCGAGCTAGAGAATGGAGCTTATAACAACATACTCATCGCTATAAGCAAAGATGTCGAAGAAGATTCAAGTATCATACAAAATATAAAGGTAAGAAATCTTTTTCTTAGGGTGTCAAGAGGGTAGGTCTGCGGGGGTGGGGGTGGGGGTTATACATCCTACTGTTACGATGATATATCAACCAAATCCTCTCCCTAAATCCATCCCTATTCATTTATTCAGTTAATCGGAGTAGAAACCAATCGAAAATAACAGATTTCAAAGTTATTTGGTGGTTGCTATATACGTTTTCAAGAACAAACCGTATTGTCACAATAACTTCATGAAAAGAGTAATATAGTACCCAAGTCACACTGACAAAAGTACGTGCCAAAATTTGACCGATCGACATTTTGTTCCGTGGGGGGGGGGGGGGGGGGTAAGGTCACCTTTTCTAGGTTTCTTTGTTTCTTTGTTTTCGGTATTTGTTTGTTTTTGTTTTTGTTTATTTGGGGGGGGGGGGGGTGAAGCATCATCTAACGATAGTTCTGAGAAATAAAGAAAACAGAGGCACCTTGCATATCCATGTATTTACACACACTGTTAAAAAAGTTGGGCAGATGTTACTGGGTAAATCGAAGTTGGGCAAATTTTGTCCGATAAAATGGGCTTTTTTTTCCAAACCATTTTACTATATGAAGTTACCTCATGAAAGGTAAAAAATAGGCTAGGTAGGTGTTACTTGGCAAATCGATGTTGGACAAATGTCGTCCAACAATTGGGCTATTTCCTACCAACCTTGTAGTTACCGATAAGATAATTGGGAAATGTTATTGAGCAAATTAGGGTTGGGCCATTTTTGTCCAACATTTGGGGTTTTCCAACCATTAACTACATGTACACTGTCGCTCATAAAGTTGGAATATTTTGGTTTTACCCAAATTTATGGAATTATTTTAAAAATTATTTAAAAATAATAGATTTAGATAATAGTATACATTCTCAGATTTTATTAAATAATAATTTCCCAATGTGTGTTTTGCGTGACTGCTAAAGCATGTGTATGCTATTATGCTTATCAACTAGGGGACCTACGCTCTTAAGTCATAAATGACAGTAATGATGATTAATGCCCCATAAAAGGGCACTAATATAGCACATCGACACGGTTTTGATCTTGGAGCCTCACAGTTACGAGGCCATTGCTTTGTCACTGAACCATGACTGTACGCAGTTGGGGCTAGGGTAGGGGGCAGTTTCCATAAATAAAATATAAAACAGAAAATGCAATAAATTTTCAATAATTTATTGCATTTTACCCCGGTCCCCAACATAAAGAAATCCGCTGGATGGCCATGCATTATGGCTCAAGGCATGGTCACACAGAGGATTTTGTAATGTAAGGAACCGGGGTAAAATGCAATAAATTATTGAAAATTTATTGCATTTTCTTTTTTATTTGTTTTATTTATGGAAACTGCCCCTACCCTAGCCCCCGCTGCGTACAGTCATGGTTCAGTGTCAAAGCAATGGCTTCAATATTGTGAGGCCCCAGGATCAAAACCGTGTCGATGTGCTATATTAGTGCCCTTTTGTGGGGCATTAATCCTCATTACAGTCATTTATGACTTAAGGGCGTAGGTACCCTAGTTGATAAGCATAATAGCATACACATGCTTTAGCAGTCACGCAAAACTGACATTGTCTAATTATTATTCAATAAAACCTGATAATGTATACTATTATTTAGATCTATTATTTTTAAATAATTTTTAAAATAATTCCATAAATTTGGGTAAAACCAAAATATTCCAACTTTATGAGCGACAGCGTATTTATTAAATGACATGATCAATATAAATTGGGCAGATGTAACTGGGCAAACGTAAGTCAGACAACATTGTTGTACAACGATAGGATTGTATTCTTATAATAGAGGTGTTGTGGTCGAGTGGATATGTCACACGACCGTAGATTACAAGGTCCGCGTTCGAGTCCCGCCGCGGCACTAATGTCCTTTTGCATATAATATTTTATCCAACTTAATTGCCCAACTATTGTCTGAAATATATGCTACACATTATGGTGAGAATTGGGTGAATTTATGATTGGGTAAATTTTTGTTGGTTAAAAGTTGGGTATTTTCTTTTTATCCAACACTGGGTAAAGTTATGCAAAATCTTTAATTTACCCAACGGTTGGTTGGACACATAATCTCCCTAAAGTTGGGTAAAAATTGGGCAATTTTTTGCCCAATATTTTTAGGAGTGCAGCTTTCAAATAACCCTCTATGAGAAAAGTGCGTCCGATATCGACAATTGAACAAAAATAAAGCTAAATCATTGCATTTTCAGCGGATTAAAAGAAAACAGGTAAGGGCAAATATTAACAGCATTCATCTTAATTCGAATGAACATTTTAAGACATCGACTGCCCATTCGCCAATTGAATGCCCGAGTTTACCTTTCAGCAATTACCGATGAATTTGAATGAACCTTGGCACACGAGCTTGACGGAATGAATTTGAAAGATAAAGTGCAAAATATAATATTATTTCTATAAATTCTATAACCCAAACTGATCACACGTTGAGATAAACCTCATTCGGTTTTAAGGGTGTGGTCAAAATGATGGCTTACTATTTTAAATGGTAACCTAGTTGTTTTATATTTTGATAACGAGATAAACCAGAATGTACTGATGTTTTGTCTTATGAACACAGGATATCTTCAGGGCCGGATCTTCTATCCTTTTCAACGCTACCAATCTGCGGGTCTACCTTGGGACTATCACGATCCTAGTCCCGCCAACTTGGTCCAGAAACTCTGAGTATCAAGTTGCCCAACGTGAAGCCTATGAGAATGCTAACGTTCTCGTTACTGATCAACAGTCTAATCATCGTCCGTTTGTCGATAAACCATTCAAATGTGGACAACAAGGAAGATTCATGCATTTATCCAAGACTTTCCTCGTCGACCAAGCTTTACGCGAAAATCAATTTGGAGATTCTGGTAAGACAAACTGTTCCACCGAAATGTTGTTCTTCAAGTTTGACACATACTTAGTTTCTTCTCCCTTTCATTATATATAGGCACAAACACATATGTAATAGGGACAGAAACGAATAGGCGAAGGGCCCCCACAATCTGGTCGACGGGGGGGGGGGGGGGGGGGAGGAGGAGAGGCACTATGTAATATTAGTAAATTACAATGTAGTCCACCAACCTTCAAATTGTTCAGGGGTATGAGATGATGGAATTTTGCACAAGCTGCGCCTTGAGCATTTGATTGTCAAGTGGATTTGGCGCCTTATAAATCATATGTATTATTATTATTATTATTATTACAATCCCGAACGTCAAATGTTAACCTGAAAATGTTTGATAAAAATGTATAAAAAAGGTAGAAACCACATAATCATAAACTTCTAACTCTTTAACAGACCCAGTTATATTTTTAGAATAGAATATGTACCGAAAATCGTTATCAAATGATCCTCTACTTTGCAGAAAATGAGGATATTGCCATGCAGTCACTTTCAAGAATACAATCAATTTCAATATAACTATATTGTTTTGACTATAAAAATAATGTTCTTGTAAATCGTTCAAAAGGTGAGGCCTAAAACTATTAAATTGTACGTTTTGGAATATCTTCACATTTCGTTAGCCCTTAATTGGTGGAATACAGGAAATATGCATTAAATACAATTCTAAGCAACTATTTCTCAGCATTCATTTCCATGCATAATTTCATAACATATACCTTATGACTATATAACTTTATGATTTTTATTTGTTCGATAAAGGTAAAGTGATTGTCCGTCAGTTTGCCAAACTCCGTTGGGGCGTGTTTGACGAGGATTACGTGCCAGGGACCGGTGCTGAACCTTACTACCAATTAAACTCGAACACCGTAACAGGTGGCGTCTTCGAAGGAACACGATGCTCTTCGAAAGTTCTAGGAGATCTCCTTGATGAAAATGAAAGGCAATGTCGGCAAGATCCTTCTGGGTATTTACCCGACTCTTGCAGATTCGTGCCCCATGCCAGTGGGCAAACTGCCAGGGCATCGTTAATGTTTGCTTCCAACATCCACTCGGTAAGACTTAAAGTAGATATTCATTGATTTTAAAAACTAACTTTTATTTCATTATTGCAAAGTTGAAACTTTGATTCGACAAGGTTATCACAATTTAATGCCTGGAAACATTTATTTATTTTATTTATTTATTTCTGATCTTTTGACAGGGTAGCCCATTCACCAGCAAGTAGTGGTCTTCCATGGGGCCCTGAATGAACATATTTACATCGTTTATAACATTTATACAGAACAGTTACAAAAATAATACTCGTTTGCAAAATTAACATATATCATTAACCTAGTAAGCAGTAATGTCAATAGGAAAATATTAATTAAGTCGCAATTATGTGAATAAGACATGTAAATATTACAGAACATGCACGTAGTGTATGTACGGCTGAGCCATTCACAAATTACAACTTTGTTTAAACAATCTCTTAAATGAATTGACAGAGGAAGCCGTTCTCAACGAATTATCTAGCTTATTCCATTCAAATATGGAAGAAACAATTGGGCTACACTTATAACAATCAGTGTGAAATCTAGGCACACGTAAACATCCACTGTCTATTTGCCTTGTATGATGCTCATGTACATCATTAGGATTGATTAAGCCTACCTGAAGGTAAGAGGGTGCTAAGTTATGAACGCATTTATATATCATCATAACGCGACTTAACTCAAACCGCTTGTCTAGTGTCATCCATTTAAGACTTGTGAACAAATCAGCCGACGGTGTGTCATATGTCTTGTTCAATATTATTCTTGCGGCCCTCTTTTGAATTTTTTGCAGCTTAGTTGTATGAGAATGAAATCGGTTCGACCATACAACAGAGCAGTAATCTAATCGTGGCAACACTAGACTGTTATAAAGTAACTTTAAGGATTTTTGAGGCAAAAAACTCTTTGCTCTCTTTATCATGCTAATGTTTTTCTGGGTAAGTTTACTTACGTTTTCGATTTGTTTAGACCATTTCAATTCTTCATCTATCAAAAGTCCTAGGCATTTGGTGAATTGAACTCTTTTGATCAAATTGCCGTTTAATGAAATGGTGAAAGATTCAATTTTCTTGAGATTAGCAGGAGAGCCTATTAACATGACACAAGTTTTTTCAGTGTTAAGAACAAGACGATTTTCCTTAATCCATGCCATGACTCTGTTTAACGCAACAGTTAATTTTTCTTCCACAACAGTTGCATCATTTGCACTGACGGTAAGTGTCGTATCGTCAGCATACATATCTATGATACCTTCAGGAGTACATTCAGGTAGACTATTAACATATATTGAAAATAAAAGGGGACCAAGAATTGAACCTTGTGGCACACCTAATTTGATGGTTGATGGATGCGACTTGGCTCCTTTGAATTGGGTCACTTGTTGTCGATCCCCTAAATATGATTTGAACCAATAAATAGTCCTATTACTACAACCTATACAAGCTAGTTTATGTAGAAGTAGCTCATGGTCAACAGTATCAAAAGCCTTACGAAGATCTATGAAGGCAACTCCAGAAATTTCTTTGTTATCAATATTCAACGACCATTGATTTACAAGTTTTGCAAGGGCAGTAGCTGTTGAATGTTTAGGTCTAAAACCAGACTGATTAGGGTGTAATAATTTATTCACGTCCAAGAATTCACTGAGTTGTTGGTGGACGGCCCTTTCTATAATTTTACTCACGATAGGTAATATCGAAATGGGACGGTAATTATTCAAAGAAGAAATATCTCCAGATTTGAATATTGGTACTACCCGAGCCTTTTTCCATTCACGTGGAACAACTCCTGTAGACAGGGATTTGTTAATGATATCACAAAGAGACTCTGCGATAACATTCTTCGTCATCTTTAAAAGTTTACAGCTGATGTGATCTTCACCAGTTGCTTTATCTATACTCAGATTATCAATCTGTTTCAATACAAAATCCTCAGTAATCAAATTCAAATTAAATTGCGAATGAGTTGGACCAATATTATTGTCCTCGTCTACTCTCAGTTGAGACTTATTCCTTCGCAGGTCCTTTGTAATCTTAGTAGCATTAGAAATGAAAAAGTCATTAAAAGCTTCAGCAATATTTGCATTGTCTGACACATTAGCACCATCAACATTTATGCTATTGGGAGATATAGGTAATGACTTAGGCACAAGGTTTCTCAAACATCTCCACATTTGCTTACTATTGTTATGATTTTGCGAGATCTGGTCTGCATTATATTCTCTTTTTCTTTTCCTCATGAGATGAATAACTGTATTCTTTAGATATTTGTAGGTGTCCCAAAGATCATCACTTTTGTTAGCTTTAGCAGCTTTGAGAACTTTATCACGTTCCGTCATAAGCTTAACAATCTCGTCAGATATCCATGGACATGCCTTTTTTCTTATCCGCTTTTTACATACTGGTATGTGCTTGTTGATTATATTATTGAATAGAGTCAACCACATATCCCACGCAACATCAACATTATCTATATCTTTTATGACCTGCCAAGGAGTACTTCTCAATTCACTGTAAAATTTCTCCTCGTCAAGATTTTTAAACGAGCGAAATTCTGCGTATTCGGATTTGTTATGGATCTTTGCACTAAAATCGCGAACCGTATACACCAAATAATGATCACTTATGCTAGTTTCAAATATTCCCCATTCATTGTAAAGTTCCTTGTCTGATACAAATATCAAATCAATTAAAGTAGAAGAGGTATTTGTAACTCTTGTGGCAGTATCAATTAGCTGACTTAACCCGTACATATTTGTATAAAACATTAACTTTTCAGCATTCAGATCAAGTTGGTGTGGCATACAATCACAATTGAAATCACCTAAAATAATACAGCTCATATCTTCCGAGAGAGCAGAGTCCAAGTTTCCGTCTAATTCTTCAAAGAAATCAACGTGAGAATTTGGAGGTCTGTAAAACTCTCCAACCAGGATGGGAGACTTATTTGGATAATGCAATTCAAACCAAAGGCATTCTAAAGTAGAAGAAATCAAATCATCCCTTCTTTTATAATTGAACCTCTTGGATATATATACAGCCACACCACCACCATGTCTCGTACGGTCTCTACGCAATAAAATATAATCATCTATATACAATTCAGAATCATCAATCATGGAGTCGCAAAATGTTTCATTTAAACCAATAACATCAAATGATGCATTCGAAGTAATGATTACTATACATTACAAAACGCTTGAATGCAGCCCCGGCATATCACCTGAAGAGCTCTCCAAACACTGCTGAGATGTGTGAGATCACAGTATGGACATGATTTGCACAAGCAGACGATGTCCCATGACATCTCACACATTTTCAGTGCCTGTTTTTTCATCTTCTTTTGAGTTCTTTCTCTTACTTCACTACCGTCAAGCTAAATGTATAATCTATTGCCTCACTCTAAACCCCACGCAGGGTTATATTTTGATGACAAATGCAGCGATACAAAAATAAAGGAATCTGTCGCTTGTAAACAAAATAAGACGCCATTGTATATTAAGCTGCACACACCGCGGTGTGTTCGGCGTTTCAAGAAGGAACGAATGCCGTCCTTAATATCATTCCGGTGGTTTTTCAATTTGTCTGGTTTCTTTGATTGTGAATTAATCCCTATCCTGTTTATTTACAAGCAAAAGATTTTAGTTATCAGAATCGGGTCATATCCCCTTTTGAAAGGTTTGACATGCCATCACATTTATATACACTAAACTCATTATAATTTGACAAACAATAGCTTTGCAATTATGTTCATTCTTTATGGGATGTCGTCTGCTTGGGCAGTATTTTGGTCCATATAGGGACGTCATTAAAACATCGGTATTTTCCCGGCGAATCTCTCGTATATCCCAGCTGCTTTGTAGGTGGTTGTATTTATATTTTTATAAATCACCCGATATGTAGTTGACCTAAAACTTGTACGATGGCCATCTGTTAGCTTACCAGTTTCTAATAATACATTAGTTAACATATTTGTGATTTTCTTTGAATTTCACCTTTAATGCGTATAAAAGAAACATCATGAATGAACTGTTTCGTTAGGATATTTTATTTATGCCCATGCATGGGCATACATGGGCATGCATGGGCATGCATTTCTATTGTCATTTGATTTTATTTTCTCAGTCTCTGTCTCTCTCTGTGCAAATTGATGCTAAAGTCACGTGCCAAACCATAGAATTAATCAATAGGCATATTGTAAAGCACCATGATTTTCAAGTCTGACAAACATGAGCGCTATACAAGAACCGATCTGTATTATTATTATATTCTAAAGAGGTATGAATGATGAAATCTGAAAAATTGAGGGGCTTCCCCGTCTGGAGTTATGTTCAAAGATATATGGTTGGTTGACTGATTTTAGAAAAAGGAAGTTCAAAATAAGTTATAATGGCAAATATTCGCATTGCATAAATAAGGAATCTCTGAGAGGATGAATGAACCTTAAGGTCAACCTTTATTTAGATGAGATCATTACCCTTAGTACATTTGATTTTTTATTACTAAATCTAAAACCAAATCTGAGCCCGAAAACTCGCAAAAAAAACGTTGAAGAATTATATTTTTATTTATCGTTATTATAGGATTGTAGATCACTAATTGCAGCAGAAGTACGGGAATCAAATCCCTACATTTATTTAAATTAAACACTTGTCTCAGCATAGGTAAATGGGTATCGGTATAGGAATACATTCTTTGAATGGCCGACTACCAAATTATGGTATCGAGACTAAGCTTCAAAAGAAGTTTGAGTTCTGGATAGAGGTGAAAAATAATTTGTGAGCATTATCATTGTTATCATGCCAGTGTGGAAAAACATCAGATAAAAAATGTTCCATGAAAAGCATGGCTCTTCAAATGCCTTAATATTTTAAATATGGCATGTAACAGCATACAAATCGGGACGGGTTTTTATGCCACATGTTTGTGTAGTACATATACATCTTTCTGTGTACAGTGCTTGTAACTTTACCGAGACTGGGCCAAATTTCTTATCATTTTGATGATTCCAGACCCTTGCAGTACACAACAATACTTATATGCTAGATATTCAACCTTTTCTGATCGTTTCTTTCACAATGCAATTGCATGACCAGAATTCAACTTTATCTTTAATGCGAGTGTACTTGTGTGTTGCACAATTAATTTATCACTAAATTTGACACGATGTACCTGGATTAAAACGACAATACACCTCACGCTTTACTCTGTTATTTTACTTCTATAAAGTGTCTATATACATGTATACAGGCGCGTACGCAGGATCTTTTTCAAAGGGGGGGGTTTAACATTTATAAATCGGGCCGAAAATTTCGCAACGACTCAGCCAGCCGCTGAATAAGAATAAAAAATCCAAGGGGGGGGGGGTTAGGGGGTTTAGGGGGGTTTACACACAGAAAAATACCAAAGGGGGGGGGGGGTAACCCCCAACCCAAACCCCCCCCCCCCCCTATGTACGCGCCTGCATGTATATCATTTCATTTCAGTGTGGCTTATATTTATCCAGAAGAGCCTGTTTAGTAGTATGTACAGGCGCGTACGCAGGATTTTTTTTCGAAGGGCGGGTTTTCAAATTTGTAAATCGCGCCGAAAATTTCGCAACGACTCAGCCAAGCGTGGGGGAGGGGAAAGGGGGGAGAGCACATTTTTTTTCTTCCCGAAATTTGGCCGATCGACATTTTGATTTGTTGGAAGAGGGGGGGGGGGTAAGTTCAACTTTTTTTGGTCACCCATTACCACAATTTTTTTTTTTTTATTAAAAAAAATTGAGGGGGTTCGACCCCCCCCCCCCTCTGCGTACGCGCCTGACTATGTACATCAAAAGTATTTACATTGAAAACGATTACAAATTCTTTTGAAAAATCAACCCAACGAAATTTCTGTGGCATTGTGCGTCACCAATAATCTGCGGACATGACAATGACGTATTACGTAGACCGAACATGATTTCTATAGGATGTACAAATAGGGGATCGAAATTGCACTTGATATCGTGTTATTTCAATACATCTGCGGTGATCAGTAATAGAAAACACAAAATTACTATTACACATTTATTTTTATTTTTTAACCAGGGCCACTTAACCCTTGTCATAAATGCCACTTCTGACACCTATGATAGATGTCTCTACATCACAGGAGCCGATCTAACATCCATAGAAGATTTGTATCGGAAAAATGCCCTCTCCAAAGTAAAACAATGCATGACCCCTCGTACCCATTGAATGAGCATTTCAATTATAACAGATCTGGAATACGCCTGTGCACACCACGAACCCAACGTGCACGTTTCCGAAGATCTTATATCCCCGACTCCATTCATCTTTTCAATTCCAAAGCAAAACGTGTTTAATTACTATGAACCTACCATGTCAATGTATCAATATAAATGTAATATAATATAAATTTCAAACATAATTTGTCATGAATATTGCATCCAACTATCAATTACCGATTGAGCCAGTAACTTTACAATCTATGTGTCATCAATAAACTAAACAATAATAACGATGGCGGAAAAAATTATACTACTCAAAACGGTAATCGATAAAAATAATAATAATTATAATAATAATAATACAAATAATACAAATAATAATTTATGTATTTATTATCATTTAAAGATTTCATATGGAACAATCATTGATATTAAATAATTTAGCTTCATATTTTGTAAAATGGAATCTGATATTACCTCTTTAACCACCATATATACCTTGGCTTACTCATATATTATCTCATTCATTGTATGTTTATCACTGTCCTGTCATATTTCATTTATATGTCTGTATTGTAACACTCTGTAACCAGTGGAAATCAAATTTCCTGCAAAGGACAATAAATTATCATACTTATACTATACTTATACTATTAAAATCTCATGGGTGACCCTTTTCCTTCGAAAAGTGCCCATTTCAATTCTCCTCAGTGCCCATATTCATCTTAAAACGCCATCGGGATTGTTTTGTTTTTCTTCCTCTTTATGAGATGTATTTCTCTATTTCTCTCACCAACAATTAAATTGAGGTTAAGGTTTTCTTCACGTTATCTATATTATATTTATGTTGTCATACTGAAGTATAATATTTTTTCTAGTACGGTAAATTATTTTGAAATAGAAATTGCCTTCAAGTTATATGTACGGTGCCATGTAAAAAGAAAATAAATATCCGCTCTCTGGTAATTCATCTCATTTGATTTTGTAACTCCAGCTCAGTTTTTGCAACCAGGGTGCCGCAAGAGAATGTTAGTTACATTTACATTACATGAGAAAATAATTGTTAAGAGATAATATAGTGTCTTTCTTCCTCGCTCACTGACGATATTTTGACAGCAAGGCGCCCGAATATATATTATATCTTGTATTTCGAGATTACATTGTTACCACGCTCAATTACATTTCAAAACATGATAAATAAGGGCAACGCGAGGCCCGAATATCCTCATATTCGTGTATCAAGGTCATGACCGAATATCTCACTTTTATTCATGTACATTCGGCGGCAAGGTGCCGCATACAGACATTTATCTACATTGGCCACTCTCCGACCAGGCGTTAAATGGGTACCCGGAAGGATGCGAAAGTTAATGTGGTTTGATTAGCAAGTGGCGCTTGTAAAATGGCGACTTGCTGGAATGATCCCCAGGGAGCGGAGAATGTGCATACCTTGTGTGTGAGTAAGCATGAATCAGATGACCGGGGTAATAATATATCTCTGTAAAGTGCAATAAGAGGGCCTGCGGTCCTGAAATGCGCTATATAAGGACGAATTATTATTATTATTATTTAAATCGTTTCTAGTGTGTTGATTACAAACTAATTTTTTACCAGTTTGAAAATGTCTTCTCCTTTTTTATTCTCATATGTGTCCATACGTGTGTACATAGCACTTGACGAGTGCCATAGTCATGCAAATAAATAGACTTTGGGATTTGGGAGAAACTTTTCAATTCTTAAGAGAGTATACCGTGAATAACAAAAAGTTAAAATAACGCTGCTCTAGTGAAATGTATTTCTATGCATTTTAAGAAGCGCTGGACAAATACCTAAAACTTACATCCTTCTTTGAGATCAGCAACCGCACTGGCGTTGCCTAAATTATCATCAAAGGGAAATGTGTACTAATGAGGAAGATAATGTGCTATAGTTTTTAATGAATATGGGTCCATGCACGGGATCTAATATGTCCTTTCTAAGCTGACCTCGGGGGTAATTGTCCTTGGTGGGTATAGTTGTCCTCGGGGGGGGGGGTAATTGTCCTTAGGGGTAGTTGTCCTCGGGGGGGGGGTAATTTTCCGGGGGATGATTGCCCAGGGGGTAATTGTCCTAGAATCACGACTCTTTTGAAATTTGTCGAAATCTGTTTAGGGAAGATAGGAGAGGGGGGACCCTCTGAACATAATCGTCACTCCAATGTTCTCAAACTACGAAAGTGTTTTATTTATTACACTTGGCACTTTGTTATTCAAGTACTTGTCCGGGAGCTGATTGTCCAGGGTGCAGGTTTTTTGTCTAGGGGATACCGGTCTAGGGGTTACTATTCCATGGGTCATTGTCCATGAGTGTCATGGTCTGGGTATTTTCCAGGGATAGCCGTCATGATAAATGCTAAGATTGTCCTTTACAAAGTTCATAGAAATTATTTGCATAATGCCGTCTAACCAGCTGTAAACTGGATGACTTTTTTTGATTATGGACAATAATATTAAACCCATTGTAAAACTTTTGTAAAGCCAAGTTTGATTGATAATATCTCTCTTGTTATAGCCTCGGTCACAAATGCCATTACGAACTGCTACGAACGCCGTACGAACGATTTTCAGACAATGGAAATTCGGGAAGACAATGGAAAAACAGGGAGATTCGTACGAACACATCGTTTGTACATGTATGGTACATGTATATCTAGCATTATGTTGAGTATCATTAGAAGATGTTGTTATTCCTTTTTAAAATGATACTCTAGTTGTTACGATTTTTTTATGACATGGAATTTGCTTTACATCACAATAAGGGGCAAGGTCACTCACCTTTTGAAAAGGAAAAAGTCGCAAATAATACCAATGATTACCAGTGAATTTGAGATCATTCTATGGCTGCAAAATCGTAACAAATATGGTATTGATATGATATTATTAATCAAACTTGAGTTTTCATACTTTTTGAGGGTTTTATTATGAAATTGTTCCACTTATTTTTTAATTTTTCTGAATGCACAGATTGACATGTTCTGCCACGACGATCCAGGAAATGTGGGGTATCATAATTACATGGCTCCTAACCTACAGAATAAGAAGTGCGACTATCAAAGCGTTTGGCAGCTGATGCGGAAATCGACTGATTTCATGAATGGAAACAGTCCTTCCTTGCCAGAGGATACCGACACATCACCAAACTTTATTGTCGTGCAGCCGGCCGGATCTCTGAGGATTGTTCTTGTTTTAGATACCAGTTTTTCCATGGATGTAAGTGTACATCTCTTTAGACCAGTGTCATTTTGCATATATATATATATTTATATATATATATATATATATATATATATATATATATATATATATATATATATACATGTATGAAAGAAACGATGGGTACAAAACAATTGTGCTCCTCACAACCATCTATACGCAGAGTTTGGCCAAATTAGTCTCACTTGATCACAACATGGCGTACATGTTTGCTTACCAAACAAATTAGTATTCGCCATATTGTGCCCAACTCGAACCGGGTTGGCCAAACCATCCCAACCAATATGGCTCTAAAATCCCGTTTACAGTAAGAAAAAGGCCAGGGCAGGGCCAGGCCTACTTCGGAAAGTCTTGTATTTCCCTTAACTACATATGTGACTGCAATCAGACATTTAAAATTGAATGTCGCCCCCCCCCCCCCCCCTATATACGAAACCGAAATCATACAAACTGGGCACTTTGATAATACGTAGGCGATTGAAGCAATTTTGTACATAACATTTCACAATTTTTTCGTTTTCTTCGTATTTATTTGTGTTCTTGATCCGACTTCATAACATGTGAAGTAGAATATCACTTTGCATTATATATCTTGCTTTCAGGGGAGTAGATTATCTCAATCACAAGAAAGAAGGAAAAACATGAAATTTGATTTTCAAAAGGCATGGAGAGTTGTCCACAGATGATGTCATCAAATTGAATACCGCCCTCTAATGACTAGTCATTTCAAAAAGCTCTAACTTCTTTATTCCTTGTCCGATTTTGTTCAAATTTTCACTGATATTTTTCAAATATCTTAAACTTTACAATAAAAGTAACTTAGTATGAAGGTTTTGGTTCCCTTTTACTTATTTTCTGCTCATTAAAAAAAAAAAAAAAAAAAAAAAAAAAGTCCGAGCATCATTTTTTTTATGAGATATTTTTGTTGCTATCCAATTAGCTCAACTCTTCAGTGAAGTGGACTTGGTTGAGTTCTGGAGAAGGTCAAACGTTATTTGTGAGCGTTATCATTGTTGGAAGAACAATAGATAAACAAAATATTCCCTGAAAAGTATTACTCTTCAAATGCTTCCATATTCTAAATATGACAGTTAATAGCTTAAAAATGAGGGCCGAATTTTATGCCACATGTTTGTGTAGTCCCACATACATCTTTCTGTGTACAATGATTGTTACTTTATTAAGACTGGGCAAAATTTCTTATCATTTTGATGATTCCAGAACCTTGCAGTACACACCAATACTTATAAGGTACATGATCAACTTTTTCTGATCGATTCCACATCAGAACTCACACCAGAACTCAACCTTATCTTTAAGTTCATCAGTTGGTTGAAACAATATATAAAATGAAATTTATACTTTTAAACTATGTTTGATTGCAATCAATGAATATATTCAAAGATTTTGCTTTTGCAACTACTTGTAACAGAGGGTCATATCATATTACCAACTTACTCTTATAATACTTCAAAACACGATGCTATGTCCATATTTACATAATTATTTTATATTGTTTCCAAGTAACTATTTGTCAGTTGTAAATATTGTAATACCATCAGTTGTAGTTATAATTGTCTTGTAATATCGTGTCTTTATTATTCATGTTCTTCCTCTTGAAACCGTCGTCATTGTCTCTCAATTTATGAGTAGATAGTGTTCTATTCATTTGCTGCCTCTACTGTATCACAACGGTGCCTGTTCCTCTGCTTTCTAAATAGGGGCCCCGTTTTAACAAGATGATCAGAGGGGCCAAGAACTTCATCCAGAGTATAGTACCTAATAATAGTTACGTGGCCATTGTCGAGTTCAATTCCGTATCCAAAGTGAATTCTAACATGATTGAACTCAGCAGTGTCATATCAAGGAAAAACTTGGCGTCTCTACTTCCAACGGTTGCCGAAAACAATACGTGTATTGGCTGCGGCATTTTGACAGCTATCGAGGTAAGAAACTATAGTACTATTGTGATGTATACCTTAGGGAAATGTGTAATGGAATAACTTGTGTGAAATTGATGAAAGTAAGGGGAGGTAATCGATATATTTTGGAAGGGAAATCACTATTCCCGACAACCACCATGCTTCTTGAAAACGGACTAGGTTAGAAAGAAACAGTACAAGATGTTAGAAGCAAAATAATGTACTTTAAGGGCAATCTAACCATTTTTATAAGATCATTTGTATATGGGCAGAAAAAACATGAAAAAGAAGATGGCAAAAGTTGACGGATGAGATGACTAAATTTGTGCACGTCTCAAATTGGGCATTTCATTAGTCGATTGTGGCAAACCTGAGATCTGTCGTTGAAAAATTAAATCTCGGGTGTTGTGCTCTTTGGGGCCAACCTGTTATCCTGTTTAACCCAACCTGTTACCCTGTATAACCCAACCTGTTACCCTGTATAACCCAACCTGTTACCCTGTGTAACCCAATCTGTTACCCTGTATAACCCAACCTGTTACCCTGTATAACCCAACCTGTTACCCTGTATAACCCAATCTGTTACCCTGTATAACCCAACCTGTTACCCTGTATAACCCAACCTGTTACCCTGTATAACCCAACCTGTTACCCTGTATAACCCAACCTGTTACCCTGTATAACCCAACATGTTACCCTGTATAACCCAAAATGTTACCCTGTATAACCCTATTCCATTCGTTGTCGTCCATGACGTAGCCATCCTTCATTACAAAAGGAGTAGAGCCCTTTATCGAAATTAAATACAAGCAAAGATCATTTGCAATATTTGGTCATACGAATACTTTTCAATGCATTTTCAAAGGTTGCCCAATACAACGGATTGGATTCCCGAGGTGTGTATCTCATTCTTCTCAGCGACGGACAGGAGAATATTTATGAAGACATAACTCTAGTAGCTGACACTCTGGATGACATCGAAAGTTCAGGTGTTACTGTGCATTCAATCGCCTTTTACGGAGCCGACACCCAGTTGGAAGAGCTAGCCCAGATGACAGGCGGTAGATCGGCAACGTGTGCTGACGGAGGGAGCTCACAATGCGTCATATCCGCCTTTGTGTCAATCATAGCGCAAAGTCCACAGAGTGTTGCGACTTCTGCACCAATACAGGTCAGTATAATGCTCGAATAAGAACAGATTAAACCTTACAACCTCACTTGAATGTTCTTCTGTTTTTTAAATTTCGTTTACAAAATGTAGGCCTATATTATTATTTTTTTTAAACTACATTTTGTTGTCACGTATAATTCAATTGTGACTTGTCCTTTGTTATTCTTAAACCAATGGAAGAATCATTTATGTTATCACAGATGAATCAGTGATTAAATTCAATTAAATTCAATATTAGATAATAATGTCACGGAATAATTCGTAAAATGTATGCAGAGAGAGAAAGAGAGACAGAGAGAGAGGTAGCTGCTTGAAGTACCTGAGGCGTCATTCAGATAAGGTTAAAGGGTATGGGGCATGTACACCAGTAATTCAACTTATCAACTTAATATTGCTCTGTTCGTTTTGCATTTACCCGATAGTATGCTCTTTTGGCGCTTCAATTAAGACAGCGCCAGCTGCTAACGCAGCCATACGTCATTCGTTTGCGTTATTACCTATGCCAATCAAACGCAACGTTTGTATTACTTCTACATCATTCAATTTCTACTCTGTACATATTACATGCTGCATTAAAAGGCAACGCGCTAGACGTTGACGCAGCCCTATATAAAGGCCCGGTCACACATATACGACGCACGGTCAGCGCATTGAAAATCGGAAAAAAAAGTCGTGAGCCCGACTTTTTTCAGGATTTGGGAGAAGCTAGCGAGCTGACACCGAATGCATATCGTGTTGCTAGCGCGCTGGGCGTATACAGAGCGTGTGCTCCGCGTATGTCTGGCTTTGTTCTAGCGCGCTCCGCGTATGCCTAGCGTACTTTTGGCTTTTACATTCATGCGTCGAGCTCCGCGGAGATTTTTGAGCATGCTCAAAAAATCCCGACGCACACAACGGCGCACACAGCGAATGACGACGAATGCAGGGCGTTGGTCCATCGTTGGTCCAGCGCACTCGACGAACGAGTAACGAAGGATGACGCACACCCAGCAAACGACAACGCACTCGCCAAAATTGAAAATTTTCAATGCGCTGGCCGTGCGTCCCCCATGCGTCCCCTATGTGTGACTGGGCCTTATTAGCACATGACCCGCGTGTGTGACGGGCATAAACATTCTGTCCACCTTTATATATGCAGTAATTACTAGGAATGGTATACCGCATACATGACGACATGTCGTTGTTTGGGCCATAAAAACATGGATATCTTTTATATGAGTTTTTTTCTAATGTAATAGGAATGACTTATTGACTCTTGATGGGGCTAAAAAATAAGATTCCTGTAATTTTTTTACTAGTATACCATCCATCCACGTTACACTTTTTGCAGGTTCAGAGTTCAACGATCACATTAGACCCTGGCACTACCAAGACTACCGATATCGTCATTGATGATTCTCTAGGACTGGATACTGTCATAACAATTACATGGACGGCCAACGACATCATCACTGTCACAGTCAGAGGACCAGATGGTACCGTTATAGACAGTACTGATGCAAGATATGAGACTGATATCAGCTCTAAAATTATTACCGTCACCATCATAGATGCAGAGGTATAGTAACTTAGTTAAATTGTTAGTTAATTCATGATGATACCTCTCCTGACCAGGCGCGTACGCAGGATTTTTTCAAGGGGGGGGGGGGGGGGGGTTAACATTTATAAATCGGGCCGAAAATTTCGCAACGACTCAGCCAGCCGCTGAATAAGCGGGAGGAGGGGGGGGGGGGGGGGGGGGGGTAAGAGGACCCTTTTTTTTTTTGTCCCCCCAAAAATCGCAACGATTCAGCCGACCTCTGAATAAGCGGGGGGGGGGGGTAAAAAAAGGTCTCGAAATTTGCAAATTTGACATTTCGCTCCACGGGGGGGGGGGGGTAAGTTCACCTTTTTAGGTCAGCCATGGGGGATTTTTTTTTTTTTTTTTTTAATAATTAAAAAAAAAAAAATCCAAAGGGGGGGGGGGGGGGGGTTTACACACATAAAAATACCAAAGGGGGGGTTAACCCCCCAAACACCCCCCCCCCCCTGTGTACGCGCCTGCTCCTGACTTACGGTTAAAAATAGCGGTTGGTCTCTTGTGCTCTTGTGAGTATCGTTTGTTTTATGACTTTAAATCATTGAATGGCAAAATGTTCAAGAGCGCCGCGAATGTACATGTATTTAAACAAATTTCGATTAAACTTGAAACAATTTTAATGAAGATAAACCATATCGGATTTGAAAAGAAACAAACACTAATTTTCATCTTTTTTTTAAATAGGACAAATTCAATGTGAAAAAAAAATTGGGTGGAAAACGTTTTAAAATTAAAGCTTGGAAGACACTAAATTCAATCTGTAAAAAAAGGAAAAAATTCAGTGCGAACAAAACATTGAGTTGAAAACAGTTTGAAATTAAAGCTTGGCAGCAACGAGCGGCCAGAATTTTCGGGAATGATTATTGACTAAATTAAATGATATTTGTACGAGTTCAGACAGGAAAAACGTCACTATCCTATCCTTATCCGATGATAAGGCCTATTGTTTTCATCCACTAACGTAATATTATTTATCGTATTCTGTACAATGCCGATTTTCTTCTTTTTTTTTTAAATATAAAAATAAGTTTAAATTTAATTTGTGACCTTTGTTCAAATCTAATTTAGGCAGGTGTATGGAGCATTGAAATCAATAACGACGGCAACCCTCACATGGAATCCGTTAGTGTGGACGTGATTTCTAAACCTCGTTCTGACGGTGTTTACCCTCCAGTTGTAAATAGCTTCTTAGGGACATCGGTACGTTACAAATCTTGTTCCCAATCATTTCTTCTTTCCATCTCATTCCCTCATTCAGTTTCCTGTTCTTTGTGCCGCTCTCTCTCTCTCTCTGTCTCTGTCTCTGTCTCTGTCTCTGTCTCTCTTTCTCTCTCTTGTCCCCCTCTTTTCCCCCTCTCTTTCCCTACCCTCTTCGTTTACCATTATCCCTCCCTATAAATACCCTTCTCTTTCTCTTTCCTCCCCCTCTCTTTCTCTCTATCCCGTTTGTGTTTTTTTTTTCATTCCCATAAGACATAATAGGATATAATTGCACAGGCATCCAGATGCATATTGAAGAGGGAGCCGCCATTTTGCTCATTATACTCTTTCGCAGTGTACAATATTCTCTTGAGTTAAAAGCAAAAATCACAGTGTCACATCTAGAACTAGTGATCTATGTAAACCGTTGTACCATATCAACATAATCATGTATTCATGCGGCATCTAGAATCTATTATATTACATGCACAAGGTTGTGATTGTGCCAAAGTTTAACGTTTAATCTGTTAACCTTTTATCCACTTCTACCAGATAGTATACTACACCACTGCTCCCCTGTTAGAGGTCTATGCATATGTCCATATCAACTACGTACCCGTCATCGACGCTACAGTGATTGCTGAAGTAGTCAGCTCGACAACAGGGGATGTGACAACCATCTCGCTACTTGATAACGGACTAGGTTAGTAAGAAACAATACAAGATGTTAGAAGCAAACTAAAGTTATGATTTTGAATAAAATATACGTTTGGTTATCTACTTTTAAGAAAAGCTCTGATTTATCAGAAACCATTGAGATGAATCCAAAATCAAAACATCTGTTTTTCTATAAAAAGAAATGTTACGAAAATGATATAAATTTTGAGTGAATGATTATTAAACATACCATTTAAGGGATAGTTGAGTTCTGTTGCAGAGGGTGCTACACAAAATAATCTTTTGTGAGATAATGAAAAACTGAGTGTCAGATTTGAAAGATTTAAATCACGAAATCATCTTTGTTTGATCAAAATCGGTTCAGAGGCAGCTGAAATATCCATAAATATAACGATTTCTAATACTTATGTACCACCACAAATATTAGATAATTTGAAAAAGCCGTTGAAAAAACGAAATAGCGCCTTTTAAGTCGTTTTTCAGCCAATTTTTTGTTGACATTTTCGTGTTGGTCATATTACGCACAACCAGCCGGCCCATGTATTGTTATTTTCAATTAAATAATTAATTAATGGTCACCGTATTTTTCCTGAAATTGGAGCTGCATTTGTATGATCAAATTGGCTAAATTTCACACATTTTGGGGTCTAAAATTACCTTCATAGCCATTTTAGGTTTTAAAAGGGCACTAGAAATGTCATAGATAAGAATAATAGCAATAACCATGCACTTTGAAGGCATTTGTGGGCTGAAAACAGAACTCAACTAAGGGGAAGAGATAGGGATAGAGAGGGAAGGGGATAGGAGATAGAGAAAAAGAGAGAGAATATAAGGAGAAAGAGAGAGAGGGGGAGAGGTAGAATCAGTGATTAAAACATGACCTCCCCTTAGAAGAGGAATGAACGTGTGCGTGTGTGTGAGGGGGATGTGGTCTTATATCAACCTATTTAGGTTCGAAAAAGAAAAGCATGTGTATTAATACGTGACATAATCTAATTCAGCGATGTATTTTTCTTTTGTGTACTTTATTCAGGAGCTGATTTGATCGCAGGTGATGGTATTTACTCGGCTTATTTCCTTGATTTCTCATCGAATGGACGATATGGCGTCAAGGTAGATGTAAACGGATACACCGCCAATTCGTCAGAAAGTGAGTTGTGTCATATTCATGTACCTTCCATAGTTGTAGCGGTCATCTATCTTCCAAGACCACCTGTTTCAAGTGGCCATCTTCATTATTGGCTCCTCGTCTATTACTTGTAGCGTCTGCAGAACATTAAATGGCCACCTGTCAGCAGTGGCCACATTTCTGCCCCCCCCCCTCCTCCTCATGGCAGTGGTCCTAATAAACTGATTGGACTGCATTTAGACTTTAGACAGGGTGTAAAGTATGTTTAAATATGGACAGTTTGGATGTTTATTGTAATATGGATTGAAGGTATAGGTGTCGTGGTCTAGTAGATACATCACCGGACTGTGGATCTCATGGTTCGCGGTTCAAGTCCCGTCGTGGCACTATTTTCCTTTGGAAAGACACTAATCTACATCTGTCACTCTCCACCGATGTGAAGTAAATGGGTACCCGATACGAAGATCTACAGATTTACAGAGATTATCATTACCAGCGTTGATATAAATTGCAATCGGTACACAGAAAGGGGTCGTCAAAAGCAAAGTTCGAATGTTCATCCTCTTGAAGAAAGCAAATACCATCTGGAGGGAATTAAGAGACATGCAGTTGTATATCATTAAAATAGACCTGTATGTTTGCACAACATTCAGTTGAGGAAAAATTGTAAATCTGTAAATATTTCTTGCAAGAAAAAATTTAATTACCTTAAAAATTTGTAAACATCTACAATCAAATTTGTCAATTCTTTGCTCTTTGTTGTTATTCTTGTTCCAGGTGCGCTGCGATCTAAACGAGATACGGGAACTCTGACCACTCCTGTCCCGTCTCTACGGTTCCAGCGAACGACTACAGCGGGCGTCTTTCAAGTAGAAAACTACTCTCCTGATCTGATTTTTGACATCCTCGCACCATCTAAGATCACTGATATCACTAGCAGAGAGAGAACATACGATGAGAATAGAAATGTGACGTTGACATGGTCAGCTGTAGGGGATGACTTAGACCAAGGAACAGGTAAAATACCCCTATCTTGATCAGCAGGAACATAGCTGGTAGAAAGTGGAGGGGCGTCAGTACATGTGCCAACATTTGCCGATGTTTCCAATGAGCAAGGATATTAGGATAAAGTCAGGTCCTCGTAATGTCAAATTTACCTACAGGTGTATACTGTCTTGCATTATTATAGTTAACCAATCTTGTTCATTACTCATGTTATGTTACATACAACGAGTTATAGGGATGAACAATGCTTTATTTTACAATTCTTTTGGACTTTTTTCTCTGTTTGCACTTAATCATATATCGTGTGAGTCAAAAAAAAGTTTACACTCAGACAATTGTCATTTATGTTAAAAGTCAGCTATGCACGAAAGGTTATGATATATGTATTGAAAGAGTGTTTTATCCCAAATCGTTTGGTATTATTTTTGTGCGGTATGTTTTCACGCTTGAATGAAGAACAGGAGGCATTGTTTGTGAGGGTGCAAAAATCGACTTGCGCAAATTTTTTAAAGTGAGAGAATGAATTGAATGTATCAAATTAGATGCATTGCATTTGCTTTTTTCAGAAGCAAAGTCACACACACACACACACACACACACATACACACGAACACACACAAGGACCAGACATACACATATACACTCACATAGCACAGGATGCAGACTGACCGAGTACTTTGGGAGAAACAATTCATTGTGATGTTAATGCACCAAACTTTCATTATGGCATTATGATTGAATTCAAATTGCATTTCGATATTAAATTGGGAAATTTGCGATTTTACAGAATTGTTCATTAAGACACTAATCTACATCTTTCACTTTCCACCGATGTGAAGTAAATGGGTACCCGATAGGAAGATATTTCCTTTAAGCTTTAGCACCTTATTATGGCGGCTAAGCTATACAGTCGGCATCATAATATGATACTTTGTTTTAGGCGCAGTAGATTAAATTCATATGGTAGCTGCGCTATATAAATGTACCTTATTGTTATTAGCATCATGATGTTTAATACATACCACACATGAAGCACTTTTGAAGTTTTGTTCTGAATTATTATTGTGTTATGCTACAGTCACTCTGCCAAACCGACTCCAACACGACTCCAAACCGACCAAGTGTTTACCTTTCGGGATAATGTAATCTTTTGTCCGGTCTGTATTCGGTCTGGTGTCGGTCTCGTTAGTGTGACCGAGGCATAAACACGTATGTAGACACTGTTTTTTATTTCGATATTTGAGTGTGTGAGTGCACAGAATTTTGTCTGTGTGTGTGTGTGTGTGACTTTGTGTGGGTTGTGATATGTGTGGCATTATTATATTTGTTAGGGATGTTATTTGGATCCGCAAAGACCGAATTAATACCAAAATCCCAATTATTTTATTCAAACATCACATAGGCATCACTTTGGCGCAAGTCGATTTTTGCACTCTCTTTAATGTCTCCTGTTCATGCAATTATGATACCAAATGATTTGGGATAAAAAATACTCTTTCATAAGATGTATAATAATTTACTGTTCATAAGTTATTTGTTTAAATAATTAGTTATCTAGGTGTAAACTCTTGTTTGACTCACACTGTATAAGTGAAGCATTGTAGTTCACCTTTACATTGATGTAGATAGCAATTATGATAGAGCATATAGTTTAATAAAGAATCTGTCTTAAATTAAGAAAAGTTTTTGTTTACATTTTGACATGTGCTGTGATCCCCCCATCCATCTCTTCACTCTAGCTGCCTACTACGAGCTCCGTTTCTCAGATAACTTCACCCAAATCCGAACCAACTTTACCTCCGCTGCTGCTGTTAACGATACCGATCTCATACTTGGTAACCTCTCCCGAGTCGCTTCATCTGGTACTCTCGAGTCCATCACTATTCTTCTGCCTGGTCAGGACTCAGACGCTATCTTTTCATTCATGATAAGAGCCTGGGATGAGGCTGGCAACGCAGGTCCTTTATCGAACATCGTATCTGTCTCAAGACGTTCCCTACCCCCGACTACCATGCCGACTACCATTCTGAACTCGACATCGGAACCACCATCCACACAATCACCTGGAGTAGCACTTCCAATATGGGTTGTCATTTCATTTTCCTGCGCCGCATTCTTCATCGTTATCGCTGTTTCCATTATTGTTGGTGTGCTTTGTAATCGTAGCGCACCTAAGAATCCAATAGGGTCGGTTTATGAGCACACTAATCCTGCTTATGAATGTTATGAACCGTAGTATAGCACACGAATGTTATGTACATGCATGGGCGTCAATCCTGGGGGGGGGGGGGGACACGTCCCCCCACGAATTTTCGGGTGGTAAAATGTCCCCCCCCCCCTCCCCATGATTTGGGGTTAAAATCTTCTTTTTTTTCTTCTTCTTTCTCTCTTTCTCTCTATATTGAGAAAAATCAAGCCAAATCAGGCTATCAGATTTTATTAATAGAAGCGTCATTAATATTACATTCACATTACCGGAAGTTCAAACATTGGTTTACGATGAAGATCCTTTCACCAACTGAAAAAAAATCAAATTAATCCCTTGTATCTTCCAAACCTTATGGCTGATTGTTCCGATGGAAACGACAAATTCATCTACCCCCCCCCCCCCCCTTGCGGTTCTTGTTCCTGTTAGTTGAAATTAAGACTGTTTTCTTTTTAATTTGGCACAAATGATGTCCCAAATCAAGCTATCTATCCATCAATTTAAAAAAAAAAATCTTCAACTTCTGAGGGGGCACACCCCCTGCGTTCTACTGTTTTCTTTTTAATTTGGCAAAAAGTATGCACCAAATCGAGCCATCTATCCAATTTCAAAACAAAATTCAACTTCTGAGGGGGACACATCCCCCCTCAGACACCCCTGCGTTCTTGTTCCTTGTTAATTGAACTTCATCTATCCATCTATCCATCAATTTAAAAACAAATCTACAACTTCTAAGGGGGGCACACCCCCTGCGTTCTACTGTTTTCTTTTTAATTTGGCAAAAAGTATGGCCCAAATCAAGCCATCTATCCATCAATTACAAAAAAATATCTTCAACTTCTGAGGGGGCACAACCCCCCCCCCCCCTCAGACATCCCATGCGTTCTACTGTTTTCTTTTTAATTATGCAAAAAGTATGCCCAAAATCAAGCCATCTATCCATCCATTTAAAAAAAAAAGCCGGCGATTGACCGATAATGTCGAAGGTTCATTAATTTATATGTGGATAAACCATTTTGCACCTAACACCTGAACTTGAACCTCAAACCCTTCAGCTGCAGACAGAAGAGATGCTATTAATTAGGTTATCAAAAATGTGATTTTGTATTCTATGAATATTTATTATTAAGACGATGTACGTAGCATCTCATTATAATCGAATTGCTACATGTATCTCAATTACAAAGAAATCTTAAGTAAAATTAAAAAGCTGCTTATGTGGTGGAAACAAAGAGATTTGACTTTGATGGGGAAAATTCAACTAATTAAGACTTTTGTTTTATCAAAATTAGTATATGTATCATCACTCACACCTGTACCGCCGTGGGCATTCCGTGAAATTGAAGTGTTAATATTTGATTTTTTATGGAATGGAAAAGATAAAATCAAACGGAGTACTTTGTTTTTAGATTACGATAAGGGAGGTCTTAAATTGACAGATTTTCAATTATTTATTCGAACACAAAGAATCATGTGGATGAAAAGACTTATAACAGGAGATTCAAATATGATTTGGAAACGTTATTTTAAATACCTGACTAGTTATTTTAAATACCTGCCTGTGTGACATAAGTTAAATTTGTTCAGGAAAGGAATGAATAATTCATGATTTCTATTGTTCGGTTATTGTAAACGTTCAGGTGGTGCAAACATGTGTGGTAGAGATAGGTGCATACTCTGCTATTTATTGGCTCGTTACTCCTCTTCGTTTCAATGTATTTCTTTTTCTTTCTTTTTTCTGTATTGTATTGTATTGAACTCGCAAACAATTATTTGTCAAATTACTGCCGTCTTAATTTTGATTGTGTACCTCTCGCTACAGTAAACATTTTCTGTCCCTGTTATTTTTCAAGTCTCCCAGGAACCTATTCTTTACAAGCTCTGCTTTTCTATAGGTTCCTGCACATTTCACAGTTTGTACTTTTGTCTGGGTTTCCTTTAAATGATATTAGTTGTCAAACAAATGTGATGATTACCTTGTCAATTAATATTATCATTTTTTTAAATTCTGAAACAATATGTATTTTATGTATATTTTGTTATCTGTATTATTTCTGCATGTGAAATGTGAAATCAATAAACTCAAACTCAAACTCAAACTCAAAAATATGGCGGCCTCTTGATTTTTTTCATTAATGTATCGCCGGATTTACTTGCACTGTCATTACCAGATTTTTACCGTAGCATGCTGGAGGCTTGGCTGGGGACAAAAGCCTTTTTGCTTAAGAACGAAATTTCAAAAAGAAATCAAATTATTTACAATAATAGATGTATCCGCATTCAGGGGCAAATATGTTTCCATGAAGACTTATTTCTGAAAAATGTTTTTAAAATACATCATATTGTTGATAAGAAAGGTGAATTGAAATCCATCACAGAATTTAAGAAAATGGGTTTAACCCTTACTGTACTGGGCTATTTCGAGCACTCTCTGACTGGGGGGGGGGGCCTCGGAGGCCCCCCCCCCTATGATCTCGGCCGTCGAATGTCCGATGAATGCGAAAATTTGCATGTTTGTAGATATTTACGTAAGGAACAAGGTGGTATAAGTAGTTTTTTCCTAATATGCAAATTTTTGTCGTTATAGCCTAATTAAATATGCAAAATGCTAATTTTATGCATTTTACAGAAAACTCTTCACATTTGTCCATAGACTTGTGAAGAATCTTGAAATATATTGAATAAATGTTTCCTTCATCTCAAATTCATGAGGTTTCATTATTTTATGATATTTGAAAATACATAGGTTAATTTGCATAAATTATGAATATGCATTCATGAATATCAAATCTGAAAATATATATAGGGAACTAGAATCATTACAAAAATTGTCAGACTCCACTTTTTTTAATGTTAATTGAAACCCATTATTCATATGAAACTTCTTTTCTAACACAAAATAGTTATTTGATGTAATTAATAATGATAATTTATGCAAATTTGATGCGATTTTCAACTATTTATTTTCTTATGTATTTTATTGTTTTTTTATTTCTTATTATATCTATTGTTTTATTTCTAATGTATTCTTTTGTTCTGAAATACATCAAGTTACTTTGAGAAACATATAAAAGCAATTTGATATCAATTCATATCTTCACATTTCTGCTTGTACATGAGTAATTATAGCACTTTTTTGATGACATGCGCATACTAATTGTTATGTAACACCTTACAGGTATATCCGATTTCGACAAAAATGGTATCAAAATGTGCGTAAGACTTGAGGGAAAAAAGTCATGAAACGACAATTCAAAATTCCGAACGGTTGCGGCGCGATCTCCGAAAATGTCGAGGGGGGCCTCCCAGGCCCCCCCCCCCCCCCCCCCACAGTACAGTAAGGGTTAAACAACATTGAAATAAATATAATAAAACAGTTATATGAAGTCATTCCATTCTCATGGAAAAATCTTTTGAATATATATGAACATCCTTGTGAGGATACTGAATTAAGTTTAGAATTCATTATTAACGGAAACCCTCACTCTTTGCAAGGCATAACATCAATATATATATATATATATATAGTACATTGTTAAAAATGAGAACGGAAAAATCTTATGCTACATGCAACTTAGAACATACTTACAATATGGTCGAAAATGACACGAGAACAATTTTCTTAAGACCCCGAAAATCCACTATAGACAGAAAGCTGAGGGAATTTCAATATAAAATTGTATATAATTTAATTTATACAAATAAGCATCTATACACTTTCAAACATGTAGTGAGCAATCTTTGCTCCTTTTGCAATAAACACGAAGAAACCTATGAGCATCTGTTTTTTACCTGTGAAAAGGTAGCAAATATTTGGAAGGACTGCGGTGACCTTTTTTCTTCATCAGCGTTAAAAAATCTACATTGGCAAGAAATTCATATCGGGATAAAAAGATCCAATGTGGGAGAAGAACAACTGTTAAATCACATTATTCTTTTAACAAAACATATGATTTTTAAATATAGTTCAACTAAAAATAGACCCCCAATTCCTCAAGAAATTAAAAAAAGAATTATAGAAAATAGGCAAGAAGAAAAGGAATTAGCGGGGGAGAGAGGCACTTTAACACTTCACTTCAGAAAATGGGACAACTTCCACAGTTAAGGACGGCGAGGCAAATACTTCTTTCTCAGACTCAGACATTTTTTTTTTTAAATATATAATTTGGTCTTAAGGAAAAGGAAGAGACAGGATTTCCAACAAATATGTAGATGTGAATGCTCGGGCAGGGAGGGGGGATTTGTTAAGCTTTGGAATGAAGGGGGAAGGGGGATATGTCAGTTTGTATGTGTGTCTGAGTATGTGAGCGTGTGTGGTGTGTCTTTCTGTCTGTAGGTAACTCTTTGATTTATAATATTCGTTCAGTATAATTAAATGTAAACATTATGAACTGTGTATTAAACTATCTTATGTATTTTTTGAGAAATGTACAATTTTCTTTATATTTTGATATATGTAAATCAATGAAGCTGTATGTTTGTTTGTTATATATTTTGTACTGAATGAATACAATAAAACAATACTACAAAACAAAAGAAATCTCATCGTATTAAGACGCTATAGCATCTCATTATAATCGTAATGCTACATATATATCTCATATTATGACGCTGTAGCATCTCATGATTATCGTATTGCTTCATGTATATCTCATTGTATTAAGACGCTGTAGCATCTCATTATAATCGTATTGCTACATATATATCTCATTGTATTGAGACGCTGTATCATCTCATAATAATCGTTTTGCTACATATATATCTCTCATTGTATTAAGACGCTGTAGCATTTCATTATAATCGTATTGCTACATGTATATCTCATTGTATTAAGACGCTGTAGCACCTCATTATAATCGTATTGCTACATATATATCTCATTGTATTAAGACGCTGTAGCATCTCATTATAATCTTATTGTCACATATATATCTCATATTAAAACGCTGTAGCATCTCATAATAATCGTATTGCTTCATGTATATCTCATTGTATTAAGACGCTGTAGCATTTCATTATAATCGTATTGCTACATATATATCTCATTGTATTAAGACGCTGTAGCA